GAGCATGTGGCGACTACTGGATGGCATATGTTCTGTATCAGAAACTAGAGCTGATGTGGTCTAGCCAATGAAATTTGCTGAATCAGCACCCCAAATAACCAAGCCAAATCTAAAGTTGACCAAAAACTGATTTGCAACCCTTTTGGTACTAATGTTGGAGAGTGGTCCCTAGTCAAAGTGATCCTTTGTAATGAGAAAGTGTTGGTTTCTAATATATGTAATTTCTTTATGCTTGTGAGTAAACAGTATTTCTTGCTGTTTCTTTGTCAGTGTTGATGTGGAGATTGTCTGGTTGGCATACTCTGGAACATGCAACATATCATTGTCCTTTCGGGGTCCCTTTCAAATCTTTGATATTATATCTCTCTTTGTGTGAATCATATATATCTGTCTATATCTATGGCTGATGGCTCTTTATCAGGAGGGCTTGGATTATGTTTTCTTGCCCTGGTGAAGGGAGTTGGAATGGATGGTCTTAGGTATTTCCTATGGGTCATGGGGGTTTAGTGTGGGAAGTTTGCTCTAATTCTGTCCTTGGAGTTCAGAATGCTCTTTGATTGTAGGTGAACTATAAATCCCAGTAACTCCAACTTCCAAATGTCAAGGTCTATTGTCCCCAAACTCCATCTGTGTTCATATTTGGGCATATGGAATATTCGTGCCGAGCGTGGTCCAGATCCTTCGTTGTTTGAGTCCACAGTGCTCTCTGGGTGTAGGTGAACTACAACTCCCAAACTCAAGGTCAATGCTGACCAAACCCTTCTAGTGTTTTCTGTTGGTCATGGGAGTCCTGTGTACCACATTTGGTTCATTTCAATCATTGATGGAGTTCGGAATGTTCTTTGATTGTAGGTTAACTATAAATCCCAGCAACTACAACTCCCAAATGACAAAATCATTTTTTTTTTAGTGATGGTCACTCATTGGGTTGTTAGGTATCTTGTGCCCAAATTTGGTGTCAATTCGTCCAGTGGTTTTTGAGTTATGTTAATCCCACAAACGAACATTACATTTTTTATTTATATAGACTAGCTGTACCCACCACACGTTGCTGTAGCCAATCTTCCCTCCCTCCTTCTCTCCTTACTTCCCTCTTTCCTTCCTTCCATCTTTTTTCTTTCCCTTCTTCCTTCCCTATCCATTTCTTTCCTCTCTTCCTTTGCTCTTTGATTCCGTCCTTCCTTCCCTCTTTCTTTCCTTCTTTCACTTTTTTATTTCCTTCTCTCCTTCCTTCCCCCTTTCTGTGTATATGTGTTTTGTGTATGTATGCATGCATATATGTGTGTGTATATATATGTGTTTGTGTATATATGTGGTTTTGCGCATGCGTTGTAATGTAATTTTGGGGTTTTCTTGCTTTTAAAGTTCCTTCTGTTGTGTTTTTCTATGTTTTTATGAGTGAAGGACATACATTGGGTTGTTAGGTGTATTGTGTCCAAATTTGGTGTCAATTCGTCCAGTGCTTTTTGAGTTATGTTAATCCCACAAACAAACATTACGTTTTTATTTATATAGATTTCTACCCTTTGACTTTCAATAACACTCTGCTATATCAAACCCAAAATCATTGAAGAGTGTTCCCATCTTTGTTATGGAAATGGGTAGATTCTTCCAAGTAAGCTGTTGTTATTTTCAAGGCAATGTCCTAGGTTAAAGATTTCTGCGGAGAGTCGAATGAGAAGCAATCCTTTTACAAATGTGCCAGGCTTGTGTGTTCAGCTTGCTTGCCAGTGTGGCCTCGCCGTTGACTTCCAGCCTCGCTGTCAGCACAAATTGAGCCTCGTCTCTTGTCCCTACATTTGGCTGTGATGCTTCTTTCGAAGCCAATTGATGTCTTTCATACTTCTGATTTTAAGCAGCTCCTCATCTAATTAACGCTGTCAGCAACATTTTCTGTCTGGAAGTGCTCTGCAGTTTGTGGGTGCTGTCTCTGGAACTGTCCTCGGAGCCTGCCGGCCAGGATATTTATGGATTAAAGTTAAATGCGGAAAGACAGACATCCACTGAGACTTTCATTTTAGGCCCTGAAAGGGCAGGGGGGGGGGGGGTACTTAAAAAAAATAGCATCACAAGAGAAGGCAAATGGCTTTCCTTGCAAAGCGGGGCATCTAAAAGGCTGCTGTTGCTCTTGCTTGGAGGCCTGGGTGAAATTATCCAGAGATCATCATGCCAGAGTCGCTGTTCAAGCTAATGGCACCTCTGAGCCCCAGTCGAAGGCGTTTGCCTTTAATGCACAGCAGACCTAGAGGCGTGCAGGTGCCATTCCGGTCCCTCGCTTAATTTAAGCTGCTTTAGTTGTCATGGCAACTAGTTGAGACATCTGAGAGACATTATGGGCAGGATTGAGGTTGAGGAGGATTTAGGTGGGAGAGACAAACAAGGAAGTTGTATGCACCATGCTAAAGAACCCAGATCCGCAGTTCGTGTTTATTTATTTATTTAATTTATTTATTTACAATATTTATATTCCATCCTTCTCACCCTGCAGGAGACTCAGGGCAGATTACAATGTACATATGCATGCCAGACATTCAATGCCATAGACACACAACATTTCCTTTCTCCTCTCAGCCACTTGAGAATGTTGGAATGTTGAGGCTGGCCAATCAGAGACCTTATGCAAATTGTACCACAGTGGCAGCCAATCAGAAAGCTGCCACATACACATATTTAACAATCCAGCTTTTTCATGAGGGTATTCTGGCCACCAGGGGAGCTGCCGCTTCACCATCCATTTGTGACACTGATGAAGTACTTCCTCATTCTTTGCATACTTGCTGGAGATTTTTATGGCCTCGTAAATTAGTTAAATTACCTCCCTACATATTTATTTATTTATTTCATATATTTATATCCCACCCTTCTCCCCACAAGGGGGACTGAGCACGGCCTCACATGAGCATCAGAGGATGCTAACAGCATAAATACCACCGGAGCCCCCGGTGGCACAGTGGGTTAAACCCCTGTGTCAGCAGGACTGAAGACTGACAGGTCACAGGTTCGAATCCGGGGAGAGCGGATGAGTTCCCTCTATCAGCTCCAGCTCCTCATGCGGGGACATGAGAGAAGCCTCCCACAAGGATGATAAACATCAAAAACATCCAGGTGTCCCTGGGCAATGTCCTTGCAGATGGCCAATTCTCTCACACCAGAAGCGACTTGCAGTTTCTCAAGTCGCTCCTGACACAACAAAAAAAAAAGCATAAATACCATAAAAATTACAATTCACAATAAAATCATTTTAAAACATTGTACAACATCAGCAGTACAATTTAACAATAAATTAATAGATTGACGTCACAGTAAAACCAAGTCGAGCCGGGAGAATCCATGTTGTACAATCCAAATTTCCTTTTCCTATTGCCGCTGGCCTCTAATCGAACGCCTGGCCCCAGAGCCAGGGCTTCAGTTGTCTTCTAAAGGACAGGAGGGAGGTGGCCAACCTGATGTCCTTAGGGGGAGAGTTCCACAGACAGGGGGCACTGCCGAGAAGGCCCTGTCTCTTGTCCCCACCAACCGCGTTTGTGAGAGTAAGTGGTACCTTAATTTCCTACTTGACAGAAGCAACTGTCTTTCAGGCTGCAAAGGTTGACAACAAGCTACACAAATTGGTCGGAAGCTCACTCCGACCCGGGCTGGCTTCGAACTCATGACCCTTCGGTCAGTAGTGATCTTAATGCAACTGACTCCCAGCCAGCTGAGCCACAGTTCTGGACCTGTGCATTGAAAGAGCTGTCTGTCTTTCCTTCTTTCTTTCTTTCTTTCTTTCTTTCTTTCTTTCTTTCTTTTTTTCTTTTTAATTTTTTTTCCTTTGCTTTCTGTAAATTGTAATAGAGCAGTATTTTTCAACCTTCCTAATGCTGCGACCCCTTAATACAGTTTCTCAGGGTGTGGTGACCCCCAATTGTAAAATTATTTTAACTTCTAGGAAATTCTTCCCATCTGAAAATTAGGAAGAACTTGCTGACTGTGAGAGCCGTTCAGCAGTGGAACTCTCTGCTCTGGAGTGTGGTACAGGCTCCTTCTTTGGAAGCTTTTAAACAGAGGCTGGACAGCCATCTGTTGGGGGTGCTTTGAATGCAATTTTACTGCTTCTTGGCAGGGGGTTGGACTGGATGGCCCATGAGGTCTCTTCCAACTCTATGATTCTATGATTCATAACATCAGGAGAGAGTGCTTCTGGAACATGGCAATACAGCCCAAAAACTTTACAGCAACCCACTACTTCATAACTGTAATTTTGCTAATGTTATGAATCATAATGTAAATATCTGATATGCAGGATGTATTTTCATTCACTGGACCAAATGTGGCACAAATACCCAATACTCTCAAATTTGAATACTGGTGGGGATGGGGAGATTGATTTTGTCATTTGGGAGTTGTAGTTGATGGGATTTATAGTTCACCTATAATCAAAGAGCATTCCGAACTCTACCAATGATGGAATTGAACCAAACTTGGCACACAGAACTCCCATGACCAACAGAAAATCCTGGGTTTGGTGGGCATTGACCTTGAGTTTGGGAGTTGTAGTTCACCCACTTCCAGAGATCACTGTGGACTCAAACAATGGACCAAACTTGGCACGAACACTCAACATGCCCAAATGTGAACACTGGTGGAGTTTGGGGGAAATAGATCATGACATTTGGGACTTATAGTTGCTGGGATGTATAGTTCACCTACAATCAAAGAGCATTCTGAACCACACCAACAATAGAATTGAGCCAAACTTCTCACACAGCAACCCAAACATCCATAAGTTGCCTAGAGATCCTCAATTTGTGGAACAGGAGGCAATATTAGAAGAGTACTGTTCAATTGCGGACATAGTATTAGAAAATGGTCTTCACTATTTAGGCTGTAAATATCGTAATAATTAAAAATAAACTCCATCAAAGGAAGCTGTTGGGACATCCTTTGCCCCAGTTAGAGGATGTAGAAATTTTCTAAATGTGCTTCTCAAGCTATATTTTCCTTAATGAATGTACTCGAAGATATGTTGTTACAGAATTGATGCAGAGTGACCTTCATAAGATTATCGTCTCTCCTCAACCACTCAGTTCAGATCATGTCAAAGTTTTCCTTTACCAGATTTTAAGAGGTAAGTTTTGCTTCTTCAACCAAACGGGATCTTTCACAGTCTCTATCCTTCACTCCATCAGATAAACCAGGTATGGGTAAACCCAGGCCCAGAGGCTGGATGCAGTCCCTTTGGGTCTTTTCTCAGGCTCGCCTTTCTCTCATCATCCTATCCTTCCTTCCTTCTCTTTCCTTCCTCCTTCCTTTCCACCCTTTTGTCCTTCCTTCCCTCGCTTTTGTCTTTCCTTCTTCTCTCTTTCCTTCCTCCTTCCCTCTCTCCTTTCCCTCTCTCTCTCTACTTTTCTCCTTCCTTCCATCCATCCATCCTTCCTTTCATCCTTCCTTCTCTTTTCCTCCTTCCTCTCTCCCTCTTTCCTTTTCTCCCTTCCTCCTTCCCATCCTTCCCCTTCCACCTTCTCTCCTTCCCTCCCTTTTGTCTTTCCTTCTTCCTTACCTTCCTTCCTTCCTTCCTTCCAGCCGTCCGTTCGTCCGTCCGTCCGTCCGTCTCTTTTGTCTTTCCTTCCTTCTCTCTTTACTTCCTCCTTCCATCCCCTTTCTCTCCCTCTCTCCCCCTTTCTCCTTCCTTCCTTCCTTCCTTCCTTCCTTCCTTCCTTCTTTCCACCCTTCCTTCCCTGTTGTCTTTTCTTCCTTCTCTCTTTCCTTTATACTTCCCTTCCTTCTTCTTTTTCCTTCCTCATTTCTTTCCCCTTTCTTTCCTTTCTTCCTTCTCTACCTCTTTCCTTCCTTTCTCCGCTCTTTGCTTTCTCCTTCCTCTTTCTTCCTTCCTTCTCCCTCTTCTTCCCTCTCTTTCCTTCCCTCCCTCCCTCTTTCTCTACCTCTTTCCCCTTCCTTCCTCCTTTTTTCTTCCTTCTCTCCTTACTTTATACTTCCCTTCCTTCTTTTTCCTTCCTCATTGTCTTCCTTCCTTCCATCCTTCCCTTCCACCATTTCATCCTTCCTTCTCTTTTGTCTTTTCTTTCTTCCCTCCTTCCCTCTCTCCCTCTTTCTCCTCCCTTCCTTCCATCCATCCATCACTTTTGTCTTTCTTTCCTTCCTTCTCTCTTTCCTTTATCCTTCCTTCCATGCTCACTTCTATTTTTCCTTCCTCCTTCACTTCTTGCCTTCCATCCTTCCCTTCCACCCTTCCTTCCCTTTTGTCTTTCCTTCCTTCCCTCTTTCCCCTTATCTCCTTCCCCCCTTTTCTCTTCCATCCATCCGTCCCTTCCTCCCTTTCGTCCTTGTTTCTTTCCTTCCTCCTTCTCTTCCATCACTGGGCATCCAGTCCTCCTAGCAGGGAGTGCTAGCATGCGACCTCCCAAGTTAGAAAATTTGCCCATGCCTGAGGTAAACCCACTTTGCACTTCTTCCTGACATGATTTACATCCAGGCATTTGTTGAAAACCATAAACCTGGAGAGATTCAACAAAAGTGAAGCAGGTGAAATATTTCAACTGACGAAGGGGCAAAGAGCAGGAACATTCAAAAGCGCTTATTGTGAATATAATATCATTATTTTGGTAGTAGTCTTGGATCATGCCACATTGTGTATGGATACTCTGTTCACATGCCATTCTAAAACATGCCTCTGTCTTCCTCAGTTTACAATCTTTCGGTTTCTTTATATTCCCCTTTTCTCCTCTGTGTGTGTGTTTTTACAGGTCTGAAATACCTACATTCTGCTGGTATTTTGCATCGAGACATTAAACCAGGGAATCTGCTTGTGAACAGCAACTGTGTTCTTAAGGTGGGTCTTTTGTGTTTGTGTGTGCCTGTGTAAAATATGAGGAAAAAAAACAAGTCCCACTGAACTTAGCATGCTTTCTTCTTAGATAAGAGAGTCCAGTTTGGGCAGAGGTCCAATCTGTGTTTGCAGTCCAACATAAAAGGCCAAACTGCATTAAAACCATGGAAGTGTGGTGGAGGCTCCTTCTATGGAGGCTTTTAAACAGAAGCTGGATGGCCATCTTTTGGGGGTGCTTTGAATGTGATTTTCCTGCTTCTCGGCAGGAGGTTGGACTGGATGGCCCATGAGGTCTCTTCCAACTCTATGATTTTATATATACAAATCTAAAGTTACTTTTTCTCTTTTCAGATCTGTGATTTTGGGTTGGCCCGGGTGGAAGAGTTAGACGAATCGCGTCACATGACTCAGGAAGTCGTCACTCAGTATTACCGAGCCCCCGAAATACTGATGGGCAGCCGCCACTACAGCAATGCTATTGACATTTGGTCTGTGGGCTGTATATTTGCTGAATTGCTAGGGCGACGAATACTGTTTCAAGCTCAGAGTCCCATTCAGCAGGTGAGAAGTGGTTGCAGTTTTAACACGGTAGATGAATGATCGACAGCCATCTTGAAGTTGAACCCTAGAGAGAATACTGTATATACTGGAGCATGCCGACCCAAATATAAGCCAAGACACCTTATTTTTCCACAAAAAAACTGGGAAAACGTATTGACTCGAGTATAAGCCGAGGGCAGGAAATGCAGCAGCTACTGGTCGATCTATATAAATAAAAATGTAATGTTTGTTTGTGGGATCAACATAACTCAAAAACCACGGGACGAATTGACACCAAATTTGGACACAATACACCTCTCAGGCCAATGAGTGACCATCACTCATCAAAACACTGAAAAACACAGCTGAAGGGACTTAAAAAGCCAAAAAATGAAATAATACATTACAACACATGCGCAAAATCGCATATATACATAAACACATATTTATACAAATATACACAAATATATACACAGACGTATATCCATATATATACACACAAAACCCCGGCTTCTGCCAACCTAGCAGTTCGAAAACATGCAAATGTGAGTAAATCAATAGGTACCACTCCAGCGGGAAGGTAACGACACTCCATGCAATCATGCTGGCCACATGACTTTGGAGGTGTCTACAGACAATGCCGGCTCTTCGGCTTAGAAATGGAGATGAGCACCACACCCCAGAGTGGGACACGACTGGACTTAATGTCAGGGGAAAACCTTTACCTTAAATGTAATAATAATAATAATAATAATAATAATAATAATAATAATAATAATATAAAATAATAAATGTAATAATAACAATAATACTACAGTAAATAGAGAAAATAATAAAAGTAATAATACAAATAGAGTAAAATAATAAATGTAACAATAATAAAACGTAATAATAATAATAATAATAACAATAAATAGAGTAAAATAATAAATGTAATAAAATAATAATAGAGTAAAATAACAAATAATTTTGACTTGCGTATAAGCCAAGGGAAGCTTTTCCAACCTAAAAAAGGGCTGAAAACTTGGCTTATACTCAGGTATATACGGTACATACTTTATTTTTTACATAGAGAGATATTTACATTAGTGGAAGTGGAATATAAATATTTTAAGTAAGAATCCCTGAGAATATCTTTCATTGTTGTGTGGACAGCCTTGACTTTTTGTCCTGGGAGCTCATATCACTTGCGTAGGAATAACAACTTTGCTGGCTTGCTTTATCTGATACATTCTCATAGCAACCTTGTGAGGTCGATTGCCCTCTTTTTGAGGTGCCATATGGGGAATGGAAGTTGACGGGAATGCTTGCCCAAGGCCTCTCCTTTTGCCCAGGAGTTGCGAGGCCGAGTGTGGGTGGCTCTTTGTATGTCTTTGGAAAAAAAACCCAAAAAAGATTATTAATAAGGAAGCATTACTTTGAAATTTTCCTCGGTTAGACGGATGTGGCCACTCTTGGAAATGCAGGGTGACGAATCTCTTTAAAGCAATGGGAAGCTCTATTTGCAAAAGATTTTCAGCTGTTCTTTGCTGTCTTTATTCAGAACATAGTGAACAAGAACATGCTGGGATGTTTCCACAGAAAAAACATGCTGGGTTGTTAGCTGGGATTTTATTAAATCAACATTTTAGTAATGGCAGTGGCAGTATATCGGAATCTCTGTTTAATGAATACTTACTTACTTTGGAGATCCCTCGTTGTCCGGGTATGATGGCCTTGTTCTCCCACAGTGAGGACATCAGACGGAAGTGGTCCCGGTCAGGGTTGGCTTGACAAGCCTTCCTCTTGGCATGTTTCTCCCTTTCCCCCTCCATTTGTGCCTCTGCAAATTCTGCAGCACTGCTGATCACAGCTGACCTCCAATTAGAGCACTCAAGGGCCAGGGCTTCCCAGTTTTGTCTTGGTGTCTATGCCACATGTTCTTCCACAGTGAGGCATTGGAGTCCAGGTGGAAGGAGGATTGCTTGTTGTTTAATATTGCTTTAACTGTTTTTAATTTGCTTTAGGTTATGTAATGTTATGTTGTGTTTTGAGGCCTTGGCCTTTGTAAGCCGCATCGAGTCCTTCAGGAGATGCTAGCAGGGTACAAATAAAGTTAATAATAATAATAATAATAATAATAATAAGGAGGAGGCCCTCCATTCATGCCTCTTCAAATTCCGCAGCACTACTGGTCACAGCTGATTTCCAGTTAGAGCACTCAAGGGCCAGGGCTTCCCAGTTCTCTCTTGGTGTCTCTGCCACAGTTTTAAAGGTTAGCTTTAAGCCCATCTTTAAATCTCTTTACTATATTCAATAGCAGTATAATATAGTGTCTAGATCCAGGGAAGTCATGCTCCCCATGCTCTATTCTGCCTTGGTTAGACCACACCTGGAATATTATGTCCAATTCTGGGCACCACAATTGAAGAGAGATATTGACAAGCTGGAATGTGTCCAGAGGACAGTAAAATCAGGACAGTAAATAAAGAGAATGTTAGAAATATTAAAAATTAATTACGTATTTTTAATCACAAAAATGGGAATCAAGCACTGAAAGGGTTAAATAGATACTAAAATGATCAAAGGTCCGGAGAACAAGCCCTATGAGGAGCGGCTTAAAGAGCTGGGCATGTTTAGCCTGGAGAAGGCTGAGAAGAGACATTTATAAATACGTGAGAGGAAGGAGTAAGCTTGTTTTCTGCTGCCCTGGAGACTAGGACGCAATGGAGCAATGGCTTCAAACTACAAAAGAGGAGATTCCATCTGAACACGAGGAAGAACTTCCTGACTGTGAGAGCTGTTCAGCAGTGGAACTCTCTGCCCCGGAGTGTGGTGGAGGCTCCTTCTTTGGAAGCTTTTAAACGGAGGCTGGATGGCCATCTGTCAGGGGTGCTTTGAATGCAATTTTCCTGCTTCTTGGCAGAAAGGGGTTGGACTGGATGGCCCATGAGGTCTCTTGCTACTCTGTGATTCTGTGATTCTTTTCCTGTCCACCAACATTACGTTTCCCATTCTGGAGTTGGGAGTATAGTATCTGCTTTGGGAGATGGAGATCTTTGGGCATTCGGACAACTTGGCCTTCAGTACAGCAGAGTTGATGGCATAGGAGCATCGCTTCAATGCTGGTGGTCTTTGCTTCTTCCAGCACACTAACGTTTTTCCGCCTGTCTTCCCAAGAGATTTGCAGGATTTTCTGCAGGCAATGCCGATGGAATCATTCCAGGAGTTGCAAGTTATGTCTGTAGATAGTTCACATTTTGCAGGCATATAGCAAGGTTGGGAGGACAATAGCTTTATAAACAAGCACCTTGGTATCCCTACAAACGTCCCGATCCTTCAACACTCTGTGCTTCATTCGGAAAAAGCTGCACTCGCAGAGCTCAGGCTGTGTTTCTAGCATTGCAGAGGGATTGGCTGCTGCCTGCTGGAAGAGCACTTTGGTTTTCTCAATGTTCAATGAGAGGCCAAGCTTCTCATGTGCTTCTGCAAAAGTGTTTAGAGTGGCTTCTTCTGAATGTGCACAGACTACGTTATCATCAGCATATTGGAGTTCTATAATAGATGTTGTTGTGACCTTGGTTTTGACTTGGAAGCTAAGCAGGATCAGTGCTGGTTAGTCCTTGGATGAGAGACTGCCAACAAATAGCAAGTACTATAAGCTATGTTTCAGAGGAAGGGACTGGTATCAAACCATCTCTGAGTATAACTAGCCTAAGAAAACTTTATGAAATTAATGGGCTTGCTATGGGCACACAAGCACATGCAGAGTGAATGCAGATACAAAGCTATAAAAAAAAATCTCATCACCTGGTTTTTTTTTTCATTTCCACAGTTGGATTTGATCACAGATCTTCTGGGAACACCGTCACTGGAAGCGATGAGGACGGCTTGTGAAGGCGCCAAGGCACACATACTCAGGGGTCCTCATAAACAGGTGGGCTGAAGACGACCCCTTTCAGAAATCCCTCTGAGGAATCCACATCTGATTCCACAGTTACATTTTCTTGTTTCTAGGGTTTTGGGTAATAAATGGATGGAAAGCAGGTGGTTTTCTGGGTTGATGTGAGTTTTCTGGGCTGTATGGCCATGTTCCAGAAGCATTCTCTCCTGACATTTTGCCTGCATCTATGGCAGTCATCCTCAGAGGTTGGGAGGCCTGTTGGAAACTAGGCAAATGCGGTTTATATATCTGTGGAATAATGTCCAGGGTGAGAGAAAGAATGCTTGTCTGTATGAGGCAAGGGTGAATGTTGCAACCTTGATTAGTGTTTAATGGCCTTACAGCTTCAAGGTCTGACTGCTTACTTCCTGGGGGAATCCTTTGTTGGGAAGTGATTAGTTGACCCTGATTGTTTCTTGTCTGAAAGACTACACGGAGAAGCCATTGAAATCCATACAGTCTAGAATTGCATTGCTTTTTTTCGCTGCCGCATCAGATTATTTATTTGCTTGTTTGTTTGTTTATTTATTATTATCAGATTTATTAGGAGCCCCTGTTGGTACAATGAGTTAAACTCTTGTGTCAGCAGGACTAAAGACCAACAGGTCACAGGTTCAAATCCAGGGAGAGTGCGGATGAGCCCCCTCTGTCAGCTCCAGCTCCCATGCAGGGACATGAGAGAAGCCTCCCACAAGGATTGTAATACATCAAAAACATCCGGGCGTTTCCTGGACAATGTCCTTGCAGACGGCCAATTCTGTCATATCAGAAGCAGTTTCTCAAATTATTCCTGACACGAAAAAAAAATCTTATTTATTCTTTATTGATTTTTTGATTTTTTTCTTTATTATTATGTTGTTTATTTTATTGTAATTTTGTATTTTTTTGTATTGTGGTTTGTTGTTCGGGCTTGGCCCCATGTAAGCCGCTCCGAGTCCCCTCTAGGGGAGACGGTGGCAGGGTATAAATAAAGATTATTATTATTATTATTATTATTATTATTATTATTATTATTTCCTTTTTATTGTCAAAGTGTAATTTCTCCTTGTTGATAAATATTTTGTTAGTTTCGACCCAGCTCTCTTTAGTAAGGTCTGACTGGATGTGTGGTAGTTTTCCACCTAGAATGTTTTCTCTGTCTAATACGCTAGTTGTTCACCTTAAGCAACATACAATTCCTTCATTTTTACTTATTTTCCCCCCCAAAAACAGAAGAAGAAGCAGGCTTGCAGCATAGGAAGCCTTCGATTTTGCCAGATTCTGTAAAGCTTCAGTAGCAATTTAACCTTTTCTATTAATACTGTCCCATAAATAGATGCGGGAAAGGCTTGATGGCTTTGTTATATTTCAGGCATAGTGTGCGCTAGTCCTCGGTTGGCATCTAGCATATTCCTCCCACATACCAATAACAATTAATCATCTGCCACTAATAGGGAAAGTCTTATATAATCTCTCCTTCCTTGCTCTTAATGGGTTTTTTTTTCCTTCAACACCTGTGCCTGCTAGGACTTCTATAATCAGCTTTGTGTTTTTTAGGAGATCCGTTGTTTTTAAAAGGTGCCCTGCTAAGGAAATGATAGTGGAGGAAATGATAGAGAACCAACGAACTGCGTCTTAAGCCAGAATTTTAGCCAAAGTGCTTTTCCTGGGGAAAAGAAACCCAGCAGCTTTTTTTGGATTTGTATAAAGAGGTCAGAGCTATTTTTATCGGTGGAAATTACTTTTAATTGTGAGTTTTTTCCTCCTCTCATTCTATCAAAAAAAGAGAGAGCGTCTTATCTCTGAAATAGTCACCACAATATTGAAAACTGCCACTTTGTTCCTCCCATTCAAACCACAGATATTTTGGATATGTTTCATTGCCTGAGTAGGATAGTTTTCCAAGGTCAGTGTACTGGTGGGTCCACAGGTGATTGTGAAGCCCTATTCTTGATCTGCATCTTCTCCCACAGTTAGGGCACTGGTTTCCAGGTGGAAGTTGGCTTGATGTGCCTTCCTCTTGGCACATTTCTCTCTTTCACCCTCCATTCGTGCCTCTTCAAATTCTACAACACTTCTGGTCACAGCTGACCTCCAGCTGGAGCGCTCAAGGGCCAGGGCTTCTCAGTTCTCAGTGTCTATGCCAGAGTTTTTAAAGTTGGCTTTGAGCCCATCGTTCAATCTCTTTTCCTGCCCACCAACATTCCGTTTTTTGTTCTTGAGTTCGGAGTAGAGCAACTGCTTTGGGAGACGGTGGTCGGGCATTCGGATAATGTGGCTGGTCCAGCGGAGTTGATGGCGGAGGACCATCGCGTCAGTGCTGGTGATCTTTGCTTCTTCTAGCACGCTGACATTTGTCCACTTGTCTTCCCAAGAGATTTGCAGGATTTTCCGGAGGCAGCGCTGATGGAATCATTCCAGGAGTTGCATGTGACGTCTGTAGACAGTCCATGTCTCGTAGGCGTATAGAAGGCCTCTGTGTTAGTTTGCCTCAGTGGGAGAAAGTCTGAGAGAGCCCTCAGTGTGACAAAGCCTCAGTGGGAGAAAGGCCTTGGTGTGAGGTAGGCCTTAGTGCAGTGGTTCTCAATCTGTGGGTCTCCAGGTGTTTTGGCCTACAAATCCCAGAAATCCCAGCCAGTTAACCAGCTGTTAGGATTTCTGGGAGTTGAAGGCCAAAATATCGGGACCCACAGGTTGAGAACCACTGCCTTAGTGTTAGTAGGCCTCGGTTTGAGTAGGTCTGGTGAGAGAAGCTTCGGTGAGGGAAGCCCCAGGTTGAAGGCCTTGTGTGTAAAGCTTCAGTGTGAAGACTACTGTGTGTAAAGCTGCATAAGTTCACTGTGAGAGGAAGCTCTGAGGGTGAAGCTGTTTATCTGCATGAGAAAGAAGCCCAGTGTGGAAGCAAAGAAGGAAGTATAAAGAACTTCATTTGTTATTGAAACCTTGTTCTTGTAAATAGTGCAACCATATTATTTTACTCCAAAGAAAAGCCTCCTGTGGACGAGATAACATTGGTCTGTGTGTTTTTGTTCTTTCTATCACTTTGGGTTACTGGTGCTGGATCACACTGTTGTTGGTAAGTTACTCTGCTATACATTCATGGGAAGGGTGTTTTGTTAATAAGCCCACTTGCCCAACAGAGGAAGACTGGGGAAAAAAAACAGGGCAGTTCCTGACATGAAATAATCAGGCCAACTAACACCTTCCAACAAAGGATTTCCCCAGGCAGGAAACAGCTATTAAATGCTAATCAAGGTGACCAATTACTACATTCACACTTGCCTCAAGCAGACAAGAGTTCTTTCTCCCAACCTGGACATTCCACAGATATATATAAACCTCATTTACCTAGTTTCCAACAGACCTCACAACCTCTGAGGATGCCTGTCATAGACGTGGGTGAAACGTCAGGAGAGAATGCTTCTGGAACATGGCCAGACAGCCTGGAAAACTCATAGCAACCCAGTGATTAAGACCATAAAAGCCTTTGACAACAAACTTCATGTTTTTGGACTTCAATATATGTATCGTGAATATCAATATGTAATGTCTAACTGTATATTACATCATATTAAGGAAATTGAGTTGGATGTATATTTACAAAATGATTTCTCTTTCTCTCCTTCTTTTCATTCATAGCCATCCCTTCCTGTCCTGTACACATTATCAAGTCAAGCTACACATGAAGCCGTTCATCTCCTTTGTAGGATGTTGGTCTTCGATCCAGTGAGTTGGTGTTTCATATTTACAATGTGAGAGAAATAATTGAAGCAGATTAATACATATATGTGAGAATAGTATGGAGGAATTACCTGTGGGCAAGTCCAGTGTAGGTATGAGACTTCAGCCCAATTGTATCTTGAATGTAATACAATATAATACTCGTAATAATACAATATTATAATTATAATTAAATATTTAAATTACATGTAATATTACTAATAATATTACAATATAATGGTATAGTGCAATATAGTAATATATAATACTGATATTGTACTATGCTAATAATATAATATATTGTATGAAAATATATATTCTAAGCCGCTCTGAGTCCCCTTCGGGGTGGGAAGGGCGGCAGATAAATGCCGTAAATAAATAAATTGAAGACTACTTGATTTCTGCTCCTGGAATAAACAGTCAGGTTCCTAATGCTTTGGCTGGAGACACTCCTGAGTGTGGAATAGTCCTTAGAGCAATGTTTTTAACCTGTAGGTCGGGACCCTTGGGAGGGTCACGAGGGGGTTTTAGAGGGGTCACCAAAGACTTACTGAAAGCCCTCCTCTGCTGTGATTGGCTGGCCTCTTCGCTGCCCTCTCAGCCAAGGGGAGGGCTGTTTCTGAGTCTCCAAGCAGGGAAGGGAGAGCAGGCGTGCTCAGTGCATGTCAGTATGGTGTGCATGTGCAGGCGAGGGAGAGCGTGCGAGGCTGGAGGGAGGCTTGCAACAGTGAGTCCTTTCAAGGCATGGGGGTTCCGTGTGTAAAGTTTGGCCCAGTTCTGTTGTTTGTGTGGTTCAGATTGTAAGTGAACTATAAATCCCAGCAACCACAACTCCCAAATGTCATGGTCTATTTTCCCCAAACTCCACCAGTGTTTACATTTGGGCATATTGGGTATTCGCACCAAGTTTGCTCCAAATGTATCATTGAGTTCACAGTGCTTTCTGGATGTAGGTGAACTACAACTCCCAAACTCAAGTTCAATGCCCACCAAAACCTTCCAGTATTTTCTGTTGGTTATGGGAGTTCTGTGTGTCAAGTTTGGTTCAGTTCCATCGTTGGTGGAGTTCAGAATGCTCTTTGATTGTAGGAGAACTATAAATCCCAGCAACAACTCCCAAATGACAAAATCAATCCCTGCCCCCTCAATCCCACCAGTATTCAAATTAGGGCCTATCAGGTATTTGTGCCAAATTTGTTCCATTGAATGAAAATACATCCTGCATATCAGATATTTACATTATGATTCAAATATCTAATATGCAAGATGTATCAGATATTTACATTACGATCCATGGAGCCCCCGGTGGCACAGTGGGTTAAACCCCTGTGCCGGCAGGACTGAAGACCAACAGGTCGCAGGTTCGAATCCAGGGAGAGGCGGATGAGCTCCCTCTATCAGCTCCAGCTCCTCATGCGGGGACATGAGAGAAGCCTCCCAAGGATGATAAAAACATCAAGTCATCCAGGTGACCCCTGGGCAACGTCTCTGCAGACGGCCAGTTTTCTCACACCAGAAGCGACTTGCAGTTTCTCAAGTTGCTCCTGACACGACTAAAATAAAATAAATTTACAATTCATAACAGTAGCAAAATTACAGTTATGACGTAGCAATGAAAATAATGTTATGGTTGGGGGTCACCACAACTATATTAAGGGGTCGCAGCATTAAGAAAGTTGAGAAACACTGGTATAGAGCAATTACTTGTGGGCAAATCCAATATTTGTACAAGAGGGATTGCAGCCCAATTGTTTCGTGAAGGCCACTTGATTTCTCCTGGAATAAACAGTCGGGTTCCTAATGCTTTGGCTGGTGACTCCCCTGACTGTGGAATGGTCTGGAAGGAAGACTTTCCTTAGAGCAGGGGTCCCCAAACTAAGGCCCGTGGGCCAGATACGGCCCTCCAAGGTCATTTACCTGGCCCTCACTCAGGGTCAACCTAAGTCTGAAATGACTTGAAAGCACACAACAACAATCTTATCTCATTAGCCAAAAGCAGGCCCACATTTCCCATTGAAATACTAATAAGTTTATATTTGTTAAAATTCTTCTTCATTTTAATTATTGTATTGTTTTTAAGTGTTTTTGCACTACAAATAAGATATGTGCAGTGTGCACAGGAATTCATTCATGGTTTTTTTTTTTTCAAATTATAATCCGGACCTCCAAAAGTTTGAGGCACTGTGACGTGGCCCTCTGTTTAAAAAGTTTGAGGACCCCTGCCTTAGAGCCTTAAAATCATAGTGTTGGAGGGGACTCCAAAGGCCATCCAGACCAACCCCCTGCAGTGCAGGAATGCACAGTCAAAGTGCACTTAGCAGATAACCATCCAGCCTCTACGTAAAAAGCTCCAGAAAAGGCGCCTCCACTGCATCATACTGTTGACTCATGTTCCGCTTGTGATCTACTCAGACTCTTAAATCCCTTTCCCACAGACTGTTAACTTCTGGTTCAGAAGAACCTGAAGGGACTCAGTCCTTCCCGCAAACTATCACTACTGTTTTGAAATAGTGACCCACTGTGAATTTGTGCAGGCCCCACTTGTTTCTCGGTGAAATGGCCCTGTGATTTGAACCCGCAGAGCCTCCTTGCAATCTCTCCTCCCCTTCCCAGAGGTGGCTTCTCTCTCTTTACAACTCTGGAGACGTGGGAGTCATTCATGCAAAGGTGTTGAGTGACTTATTTTAGATTCCCTTCCCTCTGTTATCGGTGTAGGTAGCGATTTGTTGCCTCACTTCCAGTTTGATTGGCAGCAAGTGGGCATTTGCCATCCTGTTAACAGATGCCTTTTCTCTTCTACCACCCTCGCTGGCTCTGAGTCCTTTGCTTGGGGCTGGAATATTTTCCTCCACGGAGCCTTACAGGAATAGCATCCTACATCTGGGATGGCCAGAAGGGGAAAGCTTGAGGCAAATGAGTCACTTTTTGCTCTTTCTCTCCAAGCTTTCCAAAAAGGGAGACTATAACTTGGTTTTAGGAACTAAATCTGGTCGCCTGACCACAGTTTGCCATCAACAATCCTAAAGACTATCCTGGAAACCATTCGTGCCTCTCTTGTCCTGTTGGATCCATAATTCTGCAGAATAGCAGAGCCTTGGAAGCATCTGGAGAACTATGAGGGTTGAATGAAAAGTAATGCCTCCACTTTCGTAACTCCTCGACAGATGGCAGTACTGGTATGCAGCAGGTACTGGCTCATTCAGTAGACTCTCCTCTACAGTTCCATTTTGGTGGGAAGCCTTAGCATTGATAGGTTGTGTTGTTAAAGTGTGAAGTATGGAACCCTGCGCAGATGACTTTATGCAAGTTAACAATTGTGATATCACTCAGAGAGAAATTTCAAGCATAATCGGCATTTCACAAGAACATGTGGGTCACATTATTGCTTTGCTTGGCTATCGGAAAATCTCTGCATGATGGGTACCCACCCAGGATGCTGATGCCTGAAATGAAAGTACACAGACTTCTTCTGTGACGGCTTCAGAAAACTTGTTCGTCGTTGGCAGAAATGTATCCAATTGTCTGGTGATTATGTGGAAAAGTGAATAGTGGTAGTTAAAGAGCACATTCTAAGGATTATTTCTGCGTTTGATTTATTAAAATATTCCCATCCAAACCCAAGTAACGAAGGTGGAGGCATTGCTTTTCATTCAACCCTCATTCAACTCATTGGAGCTTATAAGACCCATCCCTTTTTGCAGAACTGTTTTCTCAGCTTTTAGGGGAATGAATAATTTTGGATCAAGTAGCAAGCAATATGAGGAAATTTTGCTTAAGATTATGAATGGCTACTGCCAACTAATTTTGGGGCCTTTACAGCTCCCCAGATATGTCTTATTACTAGAATCCGGGGAAGCACCCCTGTCAATAAGAGCCTGGTGGTGGGCACTTAAATATTGGCTCAAGATCAGAATTTTTAGTTTAGGATTTGGTTTGATTCATCACTTAGCTCAGGATGAGTATATAAGTATATAAATCAGTCTAAAACAATTTAAAACAACAACGATGATATTTAAAAGTATATTGAATCAGCATCCTTCTAAGTCGCTCTGCAAGGCCAGTGAGACAGATTGAAAGTCCTAGAGGCTATTTGTGCACAGCTGAGCAGTTTGGAGGTGTTGAAAAGGCATTAGAGAAGACATTTGTTGACTGGGAGAGCACCGAGCATGACATTTCCTGCTGCTCCTGCCAAGTAGGAAGAAGTAAGTCCTGAAAGGGTGATTAGCAGCAAGGAAACACTGCCTCCTAGTGGCATCCAGAGTAGCACATGGAAGCGAGAAAAAACTAGTCCCAAGAGTTACTTTCGCAAGTTTCATATCTTTGCTTTTTGTGTTTTTGCCTTCTCTCTAACTCCAGTCCAAGCGAATATCTGCTAAGGATGCCTTAGCTCATCCATATCTGGACGAAGGGCGTTTGCGATATCACACCTGCATGTGTAAATGTTGCTTCTCCACCTCGACTGGACGTGTTTACACTAACGATTTTGAACCTGTCACGAACCCCAAATTCGACGATACGTTTGAAAAGAACCTCAGTTCTGTTCGGCAGGTGAAAGGTCAGTATTTTGAGTTGGAACGTTTCACGCTTGATCTTGCGCGTTGCTGCTTTTTGTGCCTCGATAGAAGAGACCATATGTACATTAAATAAAAGGGTGTTCACAATTATAATATAGATTATAATATTAAATCTGCCAAGTGACTTTTTCTTGGCATCCATATGGAAAGTGCTTATATTTATTTGTGAAATGTAATTTATTTATTTACGACATTTATATGCCGCCCTTCTCACCCCGAAGGGAACTCAGAGCGGCTTACAAGGTATATATTACATACAATATATTATATTATTAGCATAGTACAATATCAGCATTAAACATTGCTATATTGCACCACACCACTATATCGTAATATTATTAGTAATATTACATGTAATATAAATATATAATTATAACATATTATTATTATTATATTGCATTACATTATAATATTATAAATATTATATGTATATACAATATATTATATTATATTATATATACATCAGAAATGCTCGAACTCTGGCAGTCTTTAGGAGGAGCCTGAAAACATGGTTGTTCCCGCGTGCCTCCCCAGAATAAGGAAATTCCCTCAGCAATATGTCCCTAAGTGCACTTTATCACTGATTTAGATTTGTCTGCACGCCCCATTTCTCTCTGAAAACTCTACCTCAGTTATTTTCGATCTTGTTCATGCCCAGCATTATTTTTTAAAGTTTTAATATATTACAGCTGGCCCAGCCATAGGTTTTTAAATGCTTGTTGTTATTGTTATTGTTTATGAGATTATTTTAATTGTTGTATTGACTGTTTATGATTGCTTTTACTGTTGATGTACTTTGGGATTGGCCTCATGTAAGCCGCACCGAGTCCCTTGGGGAGATGGTAGCAGGGTATAAATAAAGTTTTTTTAAAATTATTATTATTAGTAGTAGTAGTAGTATTATATTAGAATAGCACAGGAGACAAGGTGGAACTGTCCCCTGGCCCCCATCTACCTATACACATAATAAACGTGAAAATCTGTATGTGTGTATGTATGTATGTATGTGGCAGTGGTATCTACTTACATAGACAGCCTCCCGCCTCCACATACAGCTATAACCCACAGTGCTGAGGAGCCACCAAAAGCACTCCTTCTAATTTATTTTGTATCAAAAGCATTGCATAAATTAGTATAAAACTGATAAAAATAGAAGGCGCTCAGGTGGCTAAATATCTTTTGACCAGAAACGGGCAACAGCAACGGCATTGTCTGTAGCCTTCAACAATTCCTCCTCTGTATATGAGGCAGGGCATAGTGGACAAGCATACAGATGAAGAGTTGTCTGTTCTGCTCCAGTCACATAAGGTGTGGGATTCTGTTAGGTTGTGCCATTTTGCCAGTTTGTCTTTTGATCTGACCACTCCGCTTCTGAGTCTGTTCAGGGACTTCCAAGTTGCCCATTCTTGGATTGCCCCTGGAGGAAGACCCTTGGGGGGCCATCCAGTTGGGATTTCCTGATTTAACAACCCTTGCTGTTGTTGGGCGGACACCAAGAGGAGTGGTGGTTCTCATAAAGCTTTTCCTTGATTTGAGTCTACTGGGAGGAGGCTGGTAGCCATGTGGTGAGTGGCTTTCACAATGTTCAACCTTATTTCTCTCACATTTAGCAGCAACTTCCCATTGCACATCAGGGGGGCAATGCCAGAGAGCTTGTAGAGTTTATCAACAAATATAGGTTTAAGACATCCTGTGATTATTCTGCATGTTTGTTCAGTTTTGTTTTGCATGGGCAGACTTATGCCAAACAGGACAGGCATACTCTGCAGTTGAGTAAGGCCAGGGCTGATATTCTTATTAATTTTGGATCTGCACCCCATGTGCTGCTAGTAAGTGTGCAGCTACTTTGTGCTTGGTGTTCAAGCAGTGTTTCCTATATGCTTCCAATGACATTGCACGTTATAGTGAGGGCCACATCCCAGTGTTCCTTTCTCTCTCCATTGGTGTGGAATTTGCATGACCCTGCCCACTTAATCCTTTACTACCCAGCAAACAGGAATTATCAGCAACTGAACATACTGGAGGGGATTAGGGGACTGACTCAACAGGATGGAACTTGTAATTTACCCTGCATCAAGACACAGCACTGTGACCCCCCACTGACAATGGACCTGGACCACATTTGGCACACAGAACCCCCATGACCAGGTTTGGGAGGAATTGACCTTGTTTTATAGGAGTTGTAGTTCGCCTACATCCAGATAGCACTGTGAACCCAACCAATGATGGATCTTGTCCAAATTTAGAACGCATGATGGACTTGCAGTACCCTTTCACTTCCAGAGACCACTGCGGCCCACATGAATGACGGACCTGGACCACCTTGGGCACACAGACCACCCCCCCCCATATGACCCACTTTACATCCTCTATAACCTGCAGTGTCATTGGAGGGAGGGCCTTTGGTGTCTCCTAAGTAGTGTGAGCAGTAGCTATTTGTGGAGGCAAGAGCTTCTCTGTGTAAGTGGACACTCCAGCTACATACACATATACATATTTTCACTTTTATTTTCTGTATAGGTTATTATTACTATTATTATAGAAGCTGTAGAGGCCTGGCACTCACAAATTCACTGTGTTGCGGCTATCTGTTTACTCCATATTGTGTACTTCATATTGCTTCGTTGTCTGCCCCCAACAATTTACATGTCCCATTATAACATCCTATTCAGCAGAAGAAGGTGGTCTTGTTTAGTGCATTAAAAGAGTAAAACCAGCCTTTGGATTTCTTTTTTCTGGGAAGCAAATTGGAAGGCAGCGTAGCTGTGATAAACTGCTGAGATGTGTTATTTGCGTCTCATTCCAGTCAGCCACCATCTGCTGTGGTTTAAGGAAGCAGCAGTACGCCAAGTCAGAACATGATTCCTTGAGAACGATATTTTTACCTGTCCACAAGAGTTAGGCAAGTGTAATGACTAAAAAATCATATGCTTACTCAGTTAGGATGAACTTAAATGTGGATCACATGTGATTCTTAGTTGCCATGTGAAATATCCACAGTTTCAAATATGTTTCTGATCCCTCGTAGCTCAAAGATGATGGTCTTCCAGATATGGTGTCTTGGTGATAGATCCATAAGTGGCTCTGGAGCCCTGTTCTTGATCCGCATAATTCTTGATCCCGCAGTTAGAATATTGGTTTCCAGACAGAAAGCGGTCCTGGTCAGGGTTGGCTTGACGCGCCTTCCTCTTGACACGTTTCTCCCTTGCGTCTGTACCTTGGGAAGTCTGATCTGGCCACAGTGGTCCACGCTCTTGTGATATCCCGAATAGATTACTGCAATACGCTGTACGTGGGGTTGCCTTTGAAGACTCTTCAGAAACTTCAATTAGTCCAACGGGCGGCAGCTAGATTACTTACTGGAGTGTCATACAGGGAGCATACCACCCCCCTGTTATGTCAGCTCCACTGGCTGCTGATTCAATTCCGAGCACAATTCAAAGTGCTGTTTTTGACCTATAAAACCCTATATGGCTCTGGTCCAGCGTACCTGTCAGAACGTATCTCCTTCTACGTCTCACCTCAGAGTTTAAGATCTTCTGGGGAGGCCCTGATCTCGGCCCCGCTTGGTGGGGATGAGGGACAGGGCCTTCTCGGTGTTGGCCCCCCGCCTATGGAACTCACTCCCCGGGGAACTTAGATCATCTTCATCCCTCCTCACCTTTAGAAAAAAGTTAAAAACATGGATATGGGACCAGGCCTTCGGGTAATTAAGCAAACAATGACAATAACAATGTTGACAATGGCTTGGAAATCAATTATGGATAAGTTTGATGGAGCATCCAACCACACTTTTTGGTTAATAATAGCCACCAGAGTGGTAATTCTTAGTAGATTTTAATTGTATTGTTTTAATGTTTTTAACTATTTATATTTATTGAGTGTTTGTTTTTATTATGTATATATTGAGGCATCGAATTGCTGCCGATAGAAAGCTGCCCTGAGTCCCCCCCAGGGGGTTGAGAAAGGCGGGGTACAAATATTTGAAATAAATAAATAAATAAATTTTGTCCTCCATTCATGCCTCTTTGAATTCTGCAGCACTGCTGGCTATAGCTGACCTCCAGTTAGAGCACTCAAGGGGCAGGGCTTCCCAGTTCTCTGTGTTTATGCCACAGTTTTAAGGTTGGCTTTAAGCCCGTCTTTCAATATGTTTTCCTATCCACCAACATTACTTTTCCTGTTCTTGAGTTGGGAGTCTAGTAACTGCTTTGGGAGACAGTGATCAGGCATTCGGACAACGTGAGAAGTTCAGCGGAGTTGAGTAGGTGTGCCTGTAGCCCTCAATATGAAGGGGTTTCAGTATGAGGGAAGCCTCAGTGCGAGAGGCCTCAGTATAAGAAGGCCTCAGTATGTGAGAGGCCTGGTGTAAGAAGGCTTCAGTGAGAGAAGCCCCAGGTTGAAGGCCTTGTGTGTAAAGCTCCAGCATGAAGGCTGTTGTGTGTAAAAGGCTACTATGTGAAACTCCTAAGTTTAGTGTGAGAAGAGGCTCTGTGAGAGTGAAGCTTTTTATATGCATGAGAAAGAAGCCCAGTGTGGAAGCAAAGAAGGAAGTATAAAGAACTTCATTTGTTATGGAAACCTTGTTCTTGTAAAAAGAAAAGCCTCCTAAGGAAGAGATAACATTGGTCTTTGTGTTTTTGTTCTTGCTATCCCTTTGGGGTACTGGTGATGGGTCACGGTGATCAGGCATTCGGACAATGTGGCATGTCCAGCGGAGTTGAATAGGTGTGCCTGTAGCCCTCAGTATGAAGAGGCTTCAGTATGAGAGAGGCCTCAGTGTGAGAGGCCTCAGTATGAGAAGGCTCCAGTGTTAGTAGGCCTCAGTGTGTGAGAGGCCTGGTGTGAGAAGGCTTCGGTATTTTTGTTCTTGTTTTCCCTTTGGGCTACTGGTGATGGGTCACAGTGATCAGGCATTCGGACAATGTGACATGTCCAGCAGAGTTGAATAGGTGTGCCTGTAACCCTAAGTATGAAGAGGCTTCAGTATGAGGGAGGCCTCAGTGTGAGAGGCCTCAGTATGAGAAGGCTCCAGTGTTAGTAGGCCTCAGTGTGTGAGAGGCCTGGTGTGAGAAGACTTCAGTGTTTTTGTTCTTGTTATCTCTTTGGGCTACTGGTGATGAGTCACGCTGCTGCTAATACGATACTCTGCTATACATTTATGAGGAGGGTCTTTTGTTAATAAGTCCACTTGCCCAACAGTTTTGGCAACTGCACCCCACTTGGATGGAGCGGAGATCATATCCGTGTTCTATGCAAATGTATTATAGACGTGTGTCCCTCAGTATTTTCTGTATGGTGTTCATCTGTTTGTCCAAAAATGTGTTCACTTCCTTCCTTCTGCAATTCTTTTTATTTTGTGTTTCAGAAATAATTCATCAGTTCATTTTGGAACAGCAGAAAGGAAGCAGAGTCCCGCTGTGCATCAACCCACAATCTGCTGCTTTTAAGAGCTTTATTAGGTAACTGTATGTAATCACATCTGATATTCATTTACTTTATTTTTTCTTTAGCAGTATGACAGGTTTCTTTTTTAAAAAAAATCCTATAAGAGCTTTGCAATACCTTTAATACTATTCCTAATTTATTCTTAATGGGGTGTCTTAATGTTGACAGTGGTAGGTTTTGTTAACTGTCTCTTACCAACATGGAGTTTTTCCTAATGTTTAGGAATCTACAAGCCTCCCGCTCATTACCTGTTGCTTTTGATTTCTTACTTGTTACTCTCTTTAAGTATCACTTTATTTCTCTCTTTCTACTTTTAACAATATATTACCATATATATTTATACACACACACACACACACACATATAAAGGTAAAGATTTTTCCCCTGACATTAAATCAAGTCATGTCTGACCCTCGGAGTTGCTGCCCATCTCCATTTCTAAGCCAAAGAGCCGGCATTGTCCATATACGCCTCCAAGGTCATGTGGCCAGCATGACTGCATGGAGCACCATTACCTTCTTGCAGAAGGAGTACCTATTTATCTATTCACATTTGCGTGTTTTCAAACTGCAGAAGCTGGGCCTAACAGCGGTAGCTCACCCCCACTCCTTTACAATGTCTTCTATCATTCTGTGTACTTGAGTTCAATACTTTTGGGTCTTTTTCATTATAACATGATAACATGTCGCAACATTTTTCTCACATTTCTAACAATTACTGGATCTACTTTTATACATTTTGGAGTGTCTCTCATGGGACCCCTTGTGGCGCAGTGTGTTTAACCACTGATCTGCTGAACTTGCTGACTGAAAGGTTGGTGATTTGAATCTGAGGAGTGGGGTGAGTTCCCGCTGTTAGGCTCAGCTTCTGCCAACCTAGCAGTTTGGAAAAATGCAAATGTGAGTAGATCAGTAGGCATCGCTTCTGCGGGAAGGTAACAGTGCTTCATGCAGTCATGCTGGCCACATGACCTTGGAGGTGTTTATGGACATTATATTAGTTTAGACCCAAATAACCAAACTGAATCTAAAGTTGACTAAAAACCGATTCATAACCCTTTTGATACTAATGTTGGAGAGTGGTCCCTGGTCAAAGTGGAACCTATTCAAGTGGTCCCTGGTCAAGTAGTATCTGGTCAATTGGTCCCTGGTCAAAGTGGTCCCTGGTTAAGCGGTCCCTCATCACAGTGGTCCCTGATCAAGTGGTTTGTGGTCAAAGTGATCCCTGGTCAATGTGCTCGCTAGTCACGTGGTCCTTGGTCAAGGTAGTCCTTGGTCAAAGTGGTTCCTCATCAAAGTGGTCCCTGGTCAATGTGGTCCCTAGTCAATGTGCTCCCTGGCCATGTGGTCCCTGGTCAAAGTGGTCCCTGATCAAGGTAGTCCTTGGTCAAAGTGGTCCCTGGTCAAAGTGGTCCCTGGTCAAAGTGGTCCCTGATCATGTGGCCCCTGGTTATAGTGGTCCCTGGTCAAAGTGGTCCCTAGTCAACGTGGTCCCTGGTCATGTGGTCCCTGGTCAAGGTGGTCCTTGGTCAAAGTGGTCCCTGGTCAAGTGGTCCCTCATCATTGTCCCTGGTTAAAAAAAAGGTTGGCAACCACTGATTTAAAGAGTGGACAGGGCTGTGAGATGCCATGAGAAGACCACAGAGATTGAGTAGTAGTTGAATGACTGGAAGATAAACATGACGCAATGTTTAGTGAAGGGGGGAAATGGCAGAGCATCTTAGTCTTATATTTCTAGGTTTCCAGAGCAGTGCTTTCTTTGGATTCTGTCCCTTTGGCCCCACAGGAAGGGATGAGAAATGCCATTTTAACGTGAGGCTGTATCATTCAATTTTTCTACGCTCAATGCTCCCTCGCAAGTGAACTCTGACCTTGTCCGCTTGTTGCCTTCCAGTTCCACTGTTGCCCAGCCGTCCGAGATGCCGCCGTCTCCACTGGTCTGGGAGTAAACATGGACGATATATTGTACTACTGAAGACATAATGTAGCTTTCCACTGGATTCTGGGATTTGCAATTCTGGAGGTTTAATCATGCTTGTACTGTACTTTTACTAATGAAGTTTGTAAATTAACAACCACTATTTCCTTGTACGATACGAGAGGTAGGAGAAAAATGAGACTAGGCTTTTAAAAAAATCTTTGTCAAGGTTGGGGTTGTGCTTTTAGAAGACGGAAAACAAAAATTATCCGGAGTTGCACATGTTTTGTTTTCGCCACCCACGAATTGTAGCGCGGCTGCGATCTTGGAGAGGAGGAAGAAGAAGGAACCAAATTGAGAGGAAAGTTGCTGGTTTGTTTGGTTTTTTTATCCTTGTTTGGAGTTTCTGGGGTTTGCTTTCCTTTCCTTTTCCACCCTTCGACTTGACAGCGAGGTTGTTTCAAGGCAGAAGGTGGTTTGATATGATACCAATCCATTCCTGAAGATTTGGGGTTGTTTTTTGAAACCAAAAAATATTAAAAAATGAGGGGAGTGTAAACACAACTGTGACCAATCTTGATGCTCCATCAGAGGGCACTGGCCAATCTCTGGTCATTGCCGCCTGATGGTCCCGCCTCTTTGCGTCACTTTAGTGGTGATTAAGTGACGACACGAGTAGAAAGAATGAGCGGTGACCGCCGCCTGGTATAAATAAATATATATAAATATATATATATTTAATCTATTTTTATTAGAGGTTTTTTCTGCTCTTTTCTTACATAAACCATCTCCCTCCCCCTCCGCATGCACCTGCAAAATGTGTGTAAATAAATCCATTTCTGGGCTACGATTTCCAAGAATCTTGATCTTCATTGCTGTGTATAGAGAGAGAGAGACCGAGAGAGTAGCTTGCACATTTTTTTTTTTAGATCTATCTGTGAAACTTTGTGATTTTAATTATATTTTTTGAAAATCCTGCACTGGACAGTTGGGTGAAAACGACAAGTGGAGAAGGGGGGGAAAAAGCACATAGGGAATTACGTTTAATTGTATTTGTGTCGCTAGGCAAAGCCGTGGAAGTCTTGAAATGTCGGAGTAGTAAATAACTTTTATTACGTTTTGTTTTGTTTTATTTTATGCTAATTTCTTCTCTTTGTGTTATTCTTCTGTTCAAACACTGAATTATTCTGTGCATATGTATATATATATATGAACACAAAATTGAAAGGCCGCTACCTCCTGGAGTATACAACTTGGTTTGTTTACCTCCACATGAATTTTTTTTTAAAGTCCAGTGTGGAGACTTGAAACTTGAATGTCCCTTCCAACTTTTATATTAAAACAAAGGCAAGAAAAACTGAAGACTGTTTTTTCACCTGTACAAAGAAAATAACGAATGAATGGTCTTAAAAATTTTTTTTTGAACCTTGGTCTGGGATATTTAAAAATAAAATAAAATATTGAGAGCGATTGCGAGATTGCGAGAGACTGAGAGAGCGAGAAACCTTGGTGTTTGTCATGGACAATTAACTGTTAAAGTTATTGTAAGTTATCTGTATTTAGCAGAGTATTTTCGAGAGGCGTGATCTGAGCTGGAACTGAAACTATTGAGTTAAGTTATGTTTTTTGGAAGTTTTAACTTCAATGAAGTCATTATTTTGATGTGAACGAGACGAGCGTCGAATTTCTCAAACAAAGATGCCAAAATATCTTTGTTTTTTTGTGTGGCTCCTGAGGGATTTTTTTTATTAAAAAAAATGGAAAACCAACTGAAGCATTTCAACTCACTCGAATGAGAAACGTGTCCTTAACTTAAAAATAAATAAATAAAACGAGCCCAAGAAGACAGTGGTATGAAAGGTAAAATCTCAGAGGTTGGTCTGTTAAATGTGGCACACTTGCGGGTCACTTTGTACAATGTAGATTTTGAAGTACAGTGGTGAAAACATTAAATGTGACATTTGAAACAAGAAACACCCTGTGGCTGAGTGTTTCCTTTTATTTTGTTCTGTTCTTCGTCTGAGTTTAGGTGGCCATAGAATTATTATTATTTTACTAGGTAAACCTGGCCACACTTTGCTGTGGCAACTACATATGTCTTTGCTGTTGATCTAATTGTTCTTGGCGTTGTTGAGACAATTGTATTGCTCTTCTTCTTCTCGATTCAACTCGCAAGGTTTCAAGTCTTTCTTTGCGCTGATCTGCCGATTCCTTTGTTCGCCTTTGAGAAGTTCTGACTCTAATAATAATAATAATAAACCTTTATTTGTACCCCGCTACTATCTCCCGAAGGACTCGGTGAGGCTTACAAGAGGCCAAGCTCAAATACAACAATAAAAACAACAAGAGATGTCCAAGAGAACCAACAGGGTCACACTCCCCCTAAACGTTCATTTTTGTCTAAACTAGTGCTTCTCAACCTTCCTAATGCCGCGACCCCTTGATACACCTTCTCATGTTGTGGTGACCCCCAAACATAACATTATTTTCATTGCTGCTTCATAACTGTAATTTGCTACTGTTATGAACTGTAATGTAAATATCCAATATGCAGGATGTATTTTCATTCACTGAACCAAATTTGGCACAAATACCCAAAATACCTAAATTTGAATACTACTGGGATTGGGAGAGGGATTGATTATGTCATTTGGGAGTTGTAGTTGATTTTATTTATAGTTCACCTACAATCAAAGAGCATTCTGAACTTCATTATCATTATCAGGCTGAGAACTGTCCTCCTTCTCTGAGTCAAACCGCACCTGCACTTGGCTATTTTCAGTATCAACAATGCATCCCTTCTGGTTGTGAAGGAATCAGCCGTCTACTGCCAGAAGGAACAGAGAGTTTAATCTATACTGACGATCGTGCCATCACCGCTCCAGCAGAGAGCTTTGAAATGGTTGAACAGAAGCTCTCTGAAGCTTTAGGCGCTTTTACTATCTATTACAAGGAAATAGATAGGCACAAAGATTACTGCAGATGCAGACTGCAACCAAGCCAGGCCCGTAGCCAGGATTTTGATTCGGGGGAGCTGAGTTTGATTCGGGGAGGGGGGGGCTGAGTCTGAGTGAAAGAGGGTCTACCCTAGCAAACCTTTTGTATCGTTACCCCAATACCCTCATGCATATGGGATATATGGAGCATGGTGATCAGATCATGATATGAATAAACATAATAGTTTAAATGATGTACCAGTAAGGCCTTCTCGCGGACCACCCTGAGAATTTCGGGGGGGGGGGCTGAAGCCCCTCAAACCCCACCCCCCACCCGTAGTTCCCTGTAGTAACCTATGGATGTGAGAGCTGGACCAGAAGGAAGACTGAGCAAAGGAAGAGAGATGCTTGAACTGTGGTGCTGGAGGAAAATTCTTAGAGTGCCTTGGACCGCAAGAAGATCCAACCAGTCTTAAATGGGTCTGGCCCAGCTTATCTGTCCACATGTATCTATGAACCACCATGGAGTTTAAGATCATCTGGGGAGGTACTGCTCTCAGTCCCGCCTCCCTCACAGGCATGATTGGCAGAGACGAGAGACAGGACCTTCTTAGTGGTGGCTCCTCAGCTGTAGAACTCCCTCCCCAGGGATATTAGATCAAATCCCTCCCTCCCGACTTTCCTCAAAAGAGTGACCAAGGTTTTAGAGAGCTTGTGAAATAGATAGACTTAGAACAATATGCAAAGACTATTGGGACGGGACGGATTGCGCTCGAGGATTATGCGTTTAACTCTGAATGTATTGTTTTTAAATGGTTCAATTGTTTTTAATGTACTTTTAAGTTCTGTTTTAATATTTATTTAAGTGTACATTGTGTTTGAAGGCATTGAATCATTGCCGGTATGTAAAGCCGCTTTGAGTCCCCTCCAGGGTGAGAAAGACGGGGCAGAAATGTTGTGAATAAATCTTAATATATAAAAAGCTTCTGTGTGTCATGAGTAGGCTAAAAACAAACAAACTATGGGACCGCGAGAAGATCCAACCAGTCCATACTTCAGGAAATAAAGCTATTTTAAAATAAACCAGTCCATCCTTCAGGAAATAAATACTATTCTTCATTGGAGGGAAGAATAGTAGAAGCAAAGATGAAGTATTTTGGCCACATCAGCTTGGATGTGGAAAGCTTGGAGAAGACAATGATGCTGGGGAAAATGGAAGGAAAAAGAAAGAGTGGCCAACCAAGGGCAAGATGGGTGGATGGGATCCTTGAAGGGACTAGCTTCTCTCTGAAGGAGCTGGGGGTGGTGATGGCCAACAGGGAGCTCTGGCGTGGGCTGGTCCATGAGAGCACAAAGAGTCGGAAGTGACTGAACGAATAACAAAAACAACAAAAAGGTGAAAAGCACACGTCTGCATTTTAGATGGATTAGGAATCAGCTGGTTTTCCCTGTAATACAGTGGTTCTCAACCTTCCTAATGCCGAGACCCCTTAATGCAGTTCCTCATGTTGTGGTGACCCCCCAACCAAATTTGGCACAATTACCCGATACACCCAAATTTGAATACTGGTGGGGTTGGGGGGGGGAGGGGGTTGGTTTTGTCATTTGGGAGTTGTAGGTAAAGGTTTTCCCCTGACATTATGTCCAGTCATATCTGACTTGGGTGTGGTGCTCATTTCCATTTCTAAGCCAAAGAGCCAGCGTTGTCCATAGACACCTCCAAGGTCATGTAGCCAGCATAACTGCAGGGAGCATCGTTACCTTCCCACCAGAGCAGTACCTATTGATCTACTCACATTTGCATGTTTTTGAACTGCTAAGTTGGTAGAAGCTGGGGCTGACAGCGGAAGCTCATGCCGCTTCCTGGATGTGAACCTGCGAAGCCGTGAGGGAGCTGAGGCAGCCTTCACATGAATCCCTCCTGGGCTCCTCCGCGGGCTCGCCAAATGGCGAGGCTGCGAAGGAGCCCAGGGAGGGCTCGCGCAAAGGAGCCCCTGGCTGCCTCGCGGCCTCGTCATTTGGCGAAGCTGTGAGGGAGCCAAGGCAGCCTTCACGCGAGCCCCTCCTGGGCTCCCCCGCGGGCTCGCCAAATGGGGGGGCTGTGAAGGAGCCCAGGGAGGGCTCGCAGCCTTGTAGGTGGGGCCTCGCGACCCCTCTGAAATGGCCAAACGACCCCCTGGGGGGTCGCGACCCCCAGGTTGAGAACCGCTGCTGTAATAGATAGTAAGAACGCCTAAAGCTACAGAGAGCTTCTGTTCAACCATTTCAAAGTTCCCTGCTTGATTGGTGATGGCATGATCGTCAGCATAGATCAAACTTTTCTGCCCGTGGCTGATCATTTGTATCAATGTTAAATATTGATGAAGCAAGCACGCTCCCCTGAGGCAGGCTGTTCTTCCATTTTCACCATCTGTTTCTCTGACCCTGGAATTCAACAAAACTTACATATGTGTTTGTGTGTGTATGTATATATGTAAGCTTGTTCTGCAAAGGTTCCTGCATGGCTTGATGGATCTGGACCAAACTTGATGCACGTAACCTTTATTGTTCAACTTAAAATACTAGTGGGGTTTGAAGTTAACATTTACTCCATTCAGAGCCACCAAAAACATAGGTATACATGTATGCCAGTGGTTCTCAATCTTTGGTCCTCCAGATGTTTTGGATTTCAGCTCCCACAATTCCCAACAGCTGGTAAACAGACTGGGATTTCTGAGAGTTGACATCCAAAACACCCAGAGAACCAAAGGTTGAGAACCATTGATGAATGCAGTGCTCGGATGCAACCACCAAAGGGCAGTAGATAGATACAAAGGCTACCTCAAAGAAGGCCAGAGTATTGCTGTGGAAAAGTTCTATGGAGAGAGCCAGCTCAAGATCGAAGTGAGCTGGAGAAGGGAGAAAGCAGCCCTTAAGATGATAGAACTTGGGTAATTATTCAGTCCTTAACACTAGCTTATGTAAAAGGGAAATGAGTGTACAACTGTCACTTCCTATCAACATCCATGATTTTGGCCACCAAAGCTGCCTTGGACTTCTATACGTGAGAGTGTGGTCTTGGGCAAGTGGGTGGAGAGTGATTACAAGATTTGAACCAATCTTGCAAAGGAAACCTTGTGATTGGGTCACTAGAAATTGGAAACAACTTGAATGGCATAGAAGGAACAACAGCATGATCAAAGTAAGGAGAAGAAATATTATAAATTACGAGCTGTGTATTTGTATATGTATATATAGTGTATTTTTTGGGTTTTAAAGTCTGTTCCGCTGGCGTTGTGTGTGTGTGTGTGTGTGTGTGTGTTTAGGGGTGAAGGCCACGTTGCTGTGGCCCAGTCTGTGTATATGTGTTTTGTGCATGTATATATTTGTGCATATATGTGTGTTTGTGTGTGTGTGTGTATAAATGTGTGTATGTATTTGTGTTTATATATGGACATGCATACTGTGTATATGTGTGTGCTTGTCTATATGCATATTTGTGTATATGTTTGTGCATGTGTGTATGTATGTATGTTTGTGTGCATGTGCGTATGTATATGTGTGTATTTGTATGTGTGTATATGTATGTGTGTATTTGTATGTGTATATGTATATATGTAGGAAGCCCGCAGTGGGTTAAACCACTGAGCTGCTGAGCTTGTTGACCGAAAGGTCGCAGGTTTGAGTCCAGGGAGTGGCATGAGCTTCTGCTGTCAGCCCCAGCTTCTCCCAACGTAGCAGTTGGAAAACATGCAAATGTGAGTAGATCAATAGGTACTGCTCCGGTGGGAAGGTGATGCCGCTCCGTGCAGTCATGCTGGCCACATGACCTTGGAGGTGTCTATGGACAATGCCGGCTCTTAGAAATGGCGATGAGCACCAACCCTCAGAGTCCAACACAACTGGACTTAATGTCAGGGGACAACCTTTACCTATGTATATATGTGTGTATGTATATGTATGTGTGTGTATATGTGTATATTTGTGTGTGTGAATGTGTGTATGTATATGATATATTTCTATATGTATACATGGTGTATTTTTTGGGTTTTTAAGTCTGTTCCGCTGGCGTTGTGTGTGTGTGTGTTTAGGGGTGAAGGACACTCGTTGGACTGTTAGGTGCATTTTGTCCAAATTTCGTGTCAATTCGTCCAGTGGTTTTTGAGTTCTGTTCATCCCATAAAAGAACATTAAACTTTTGTGTTGTTGAAGGCTTTCATGGGCGGAATCACTGGGTTGTTGTAAGTTTTTTCAGACTATATGGCCATATTCTAGAGGCATTCTCTCCTGACGTTTCGTCTGCATCCTCAGAGGTAGTGACCTCACTACCCCTGAAGATGCTTGCCATAGATGCAGGCGAAACGTCAGGAGAGAATGCCTCTAGAACATGGCCATATAGCCCGAAAAAACCTACAACGACCCATTATATTTTTATTTATATAGATTATTAAGCGGCTCAGCAATGAAATGTAAAATCCACAATATGTAATTATCAAGATAGAATTAAACATACCATTTGATTAAATCACTTTAAAATACATATAGGAAGGGTGCATACATTTTTGGGGAAGGGAACACTGCAACAGAAGAGTTGTAGAATGATTGATTGTTTCACAGTGTTTACTTTGAAGTGAGTGGAATTTTGAAAAGGAATGGCAAAGAGGGGCTGGGCCCTTTAAGAGGTGGGCGGGGCTTAAGGGATGAAGCCCCGCCCACCCCGGAAGAGCCAGTGAGAGCTGGAGGAGAGTGGTCTGTTCTGGCTGCAGAAGTCCTTCCCTTGCCATGGCTGCCACGCGCTTCCTGGAGTGGCTCTTCTTCTTCTATTTCTTCACCCACATCCCCATCACTTTGCTGGTGGATCTGCAGCCTCTTCTCCCTGGATTTTATCCTCACCAAGTAAGTCATTCCCAAAGAAAAAAATGTTTTAAAAGAAATCTAGGAGTGTAGAATAAATGCACTTTGATACCTGGGTTGCTGTGAGTTTTCCAAGCTGTCTGGCCTTGTTCCAGAAGCATTCTCTCCTGACGTTTCGCCTGCATCTATGGCCAGAGGTTGTGAGGTCTGTTGGAAACTAGGCAAATGAGGCTTATCTATCTGTGGAATGATGTCCTGGGTGGGAGAAAGAACTCTTCTCTGTTTGTTGCAATTGGCTACCTTGATCAGCTCTGGATTGCCTTGCAGCTGCAAAGCCTGGCTGGTTGCTGCATGGGGGAATCCTTTGTTTGAATGTGTTAGCTGGCCCTGATTGATTCTAGTGAAAGGAGGAAACCATGAAAATGAACAAAATCTGGCTACCAGTTTTTTAAAAAAACTCTAAAATCAGGACAGTAAATAAAGAACAACACTCAAAAAGCAGGGGGATTCCAGACAAGAATTAATCAGGGTCTGCTAATACCTCCCAACAAAGGATTCCCCCAAGCAGGAAGCAGCCAGGTTTTGAAGCTGCAAGGCTATTCAATGTGACCAATTGCAACATTCACACTTATCTCAAGCAGACTATTATTATTATTATTATTTTGGACATTTGTATACCGTCCTATCTCAACCTCTGCAGAGGGACTCAGGGCGGTTAACAAAACGGCATCCCATGGTGCCCACAACCAGAAACAAATATGCAATTTAAATACAATATAACACTAAAACAGGGAGCCCCTGGTGGCGCAGTGGGTTAAAGCACTGAGCTGCTGAGCTTGTTGATCGAAAGGCCGCAGGTTCGATTCCGGGGAGCGGCGTGAGCTTCCGCTGTCAGCCCTAGCTTCTGCCAACCTAGCAGTTCAAAAACATGCAAATGTGAGTAGATCAATAGGTACCGCTCCGGCGGGAAGGTAACGGCGCTCCATGAAGTCATGCCGGCCACATGACCTTGGAGGTGTATACGGACAACGCTGGCTCTTCGGCTTAGCAATGGAGATGAGCACCACACCCCAGAGTCAGACATGACTGGACTTAATGTCAGGGGACTACCTTTACCTTTACCTAACACTAAAACAATATAAAACAATATTAAATCATCATCCATGGGACAGTCAGTTCCGTAAAAGCCGTTGCGCCTAATCTGCAAAGGCCTGATCCCACAGTAAGGACTTCACTTGTTTCGAAAGATCAGGAGGGACGAAGCAGATCTGATTTCGCTTGGAAGGGAGTTCCACAGTCGAGGGGACACCAGAGAAAAGGCTCTGTTTCCTGTCCCCACCAACCACGATTGTGATAATGGGGGTACAACAAGCAAGGACTGCCCAGTTGATCTTAGGGCCCTAGGTGGATCGTAGCGGGAAATATGTTTGGACAAGTAAACTGGGCCAGAACCATTCAGGGCTTTATAGGCCAAAGCCAGCACTTTGAATTGTACTCAGAAGCTGATAGGCAGCCAGTGGAGCTGGCGTAACAAGGGCGTTGTGTGGTCTCTGAACCCAGCTCTGGTGAGCAACCTGGCTGGTGAGCGTTGGACTAGTTGAAGCTTCCAGGCAGCCTTCAGAGGCAGCCCTACGTAGAGTGCATTGCAGTAGCCTATTCGGGATGTAACCAGAGCATGGACCACCGTGGTCAAGTCAGACTTCCCAAGGTATGGGCACAACTGGTGCACAAGTTTTAGCTGTGCAAAAGCTCCCCTGGCCACTGCTGAGACCTGGGGTTCCATGCTCCACAACGAGTCCAGGATCACTCCCAAGCTACGAACCTGCGTCTTCAGGGGGAGTGTAACCCCATCCAACACAGGCTGTAACCCTATGCCCTGTTCGGCCTTGAGTTCTTTCTCCCACTCCTGACATTATTCCACAGATATATACACCCAATTTTCCTAGTTTCCAACAGACCTCACAACCCCTGAGGATGCCTGCCACAGATGTGGGCAAAACATCCGGAGAGAATGCTTCTGGAACATGGCCAGGCAGCCCAGGAAACACAGCAATCCAGTGATTTTGGCCATGAAAGCCTTTGATAATGCACTTTGATACTCTTTGAACTACTATGGCTCAAGGTTCCTCCCCAAACTACAACTCCCACCATTCCATATCTTTGAGCCATGGCAGTTTAAATGGTGCCAAACGACATCAAGTCTAGATGCACCCTGGGGCATGCAAACCCAAAAGCATACGTGGAAATAATGCAAGGTATTTATATGTGAATCTAAACTGTTGGTTGACCCCTATAAATACTTAGAGACTGGTTCTCGCTGCCCAGCACAATCCTATTGAACTGAGCATGAAAGCCAACTGGTTTTTTCGCATCGTTTCCTCATTGCCCCTTATGTTGACCTGCCATAGTTCTTCTTATCACATGCCACCAAGGCCATAGATTTTCTAAAGAAAGACCTCTGACCCTGGGCGGTTAATATTTTACCATTACGAACAAATTCCCTGCTCGATACAGAAAGAATTCATCCTTATCAGGAGGAAAAGAACAGCAGGAGGAATGGTTGGGGTCACGTCGGATCCAACATCAAAAGAAAATGAGGCAAAGCTATATGTGGCGCAGTTGGCGCACCAGTTTGAACTGTGCAAATGCCTTCCCGGCCACCACTGACACCTGAGTTTCAAGTGCCGGTGCTGAATCCAGAAGGACCCCCCGACTGTGGACGTGAGTCCACAGGGGGAGTGTAACCCCATCGAGTGCAGGTTGCCACCGGATACCCCAATCGTAACGCATCATAGAGTTGGAAGAGACCTCATGAGCCATCCAATCCTACCCATTCTGCCAAGAAGCAGGAAAATTACATTCAAAGCACCCCCGACAGATGGCCATCCAGCCTCTGTTTAAAAGCCTCCAAAGAAGGAGCCTCCACCACACTCCGATGACACGATGACAACAATCTTGGACAGCAATGGCTTCCAAAGTGACCCATTTAAGGTGGAATCAGGTGTCAAACAAGGATGTGTTATTGCCCCAACCTTATTTTCCATCTTCCATCACTATGATACTTCATCTTGTTGATGAGAAGCTTCCCACCGGAGTGGAAGTCATGTATTGGACAGGTGGCAAGCTATTCAACCTCAGCAGATTGAAAGCCAAAACCAAGGTCACAACAACATCTGTTATAGAACTCCAATATGCTAACTGGAGGTCAGCTGTGACCAGCAGTGCTGCGGACATTGAAGAGGCACAAATGGAGAATGAAAGGGAGAAACGCACCAAGAGGAAGATGTGACAAGCCAACCCTGACTGGGATTGCCTTCCACCTGGAAGGTAATACCCTCACTGTGGAAGAGCATGAGGATCAAGAATAGGACTCCACAGTCACCTATGGAGCACCACCAAGTCACTACATTTGGAAGGCCATCGTAGAATCCTAGAGTTGGAAGAGACCTCATGGGCCAGCCAGTCCAACCCCCTGCCAAGAAGCAGGAAAATTGCATTCAGAGCACCCCCGACAGATGGCCATCCAGCCTGTTTAAAAGCTTCCAAAGAAGGAGCCTCCGCCACACTCTGGGGCAGAGAGTTCCACTGCTGAACAGCTCTCACAGTCAGGAAGTTCTTCCTCATGTTCAGATGGAATCTCCTTTCTTGTAGTTTGAAGCCATTGCTCTATGTCCTAGTCTCCAGGGCAGCAGAAAACAAGCCTGCTCCCTCCTCCCTGTGACTTCCTCTCACGTATTTATACGTGGCTATCATGTCTGCTCTCAGCCTTCTCTTTAAGCCCAGCTCTTTAAGCCGTTCCTCATAGGGCTTGTTCTCCAGACCCTTGATCATTTTAGTCGCCCTCCTTTGGACACATTCCACCTTGTCAATATCTCTCTTCAATTGTGGTGCTCAGAATTGGACACAATATTCCAGGTGTGGTCTAACCAAGGCTGAATAGAGCATGGGGAGCATGACTTCTCTGGATCTAGACACTATAGAGGCCAAAATCCCGTTGGCTTTTTTTGCCGCCACATCACATTGTTGCCTCATGTTAACTTGTTGTCCACGAGGACCCCAAGATCTTTTTCACACGTCCTGCTCTCGAGCCAGGCATTGTCACCCATTCTGTATCTTTGCATTTTATTTTTCCTGCCTAAGTGGAGTATCTTGCATTTGTCCCCGTTGAACTTCATGTTGTTAGTTTTGGCCCATCATCTCTCTCATCTGTGAAGATTCTTTTGAGTTCTGTTCCTGTCTTCTGGAGTCTTGGCTCTCCCTCCCAATTTGGTGTTGCCTGCAAACTTGATGATACTGCCTTCTAAGCCTTCGTCTACGTCAGGGGTCCTCAAACTTTTTAAACCGGGGGCCAATTCACTGTCCCTCAGACTGTTAGAGGGCCGGACTTATATCTTATATTTTGCTGTGTGGAAGGGCCCTTAGAGGGGGTTCTTTCTGGCCCTCTTTAGGCAGTAATTCCAGGAGCAGAGAATGGGAGATCTTCCTATTTCTGGTCTGAACAAAATCTGGCTACCGGTATTTAAAAAACTCTAAAATTATAACTGTAAATAAAGAACAACACTCAAACACAGGAGAACACCAGACAAGAGACAATCAGGGCCAGCTAATCACCTCTCAACAAAGGATTCTCCCTAAAAACTGTCAGGCTATGAAATGGTAATCAAGGCCAATTGAAACATTCGTGCCTACCTCCAATAGACAAGAGTTCTTTCTCCCACCCTGGATCTTCCACAATTTTCCTAGTCAAAGGTTTTCCTCTAATTATAATGTATAGTTTAACTCTGAATGTCTTGTTTTTAAATGTTTCAATTTTTTAATGTACTTTTAAGTTCTGTTTTAATATTTTTTTAAGCGTACATTGTGTTTTAAGGCATTGAATCGTTGCCGGTACGTAAAGCCACCTTGAGTCCCCTCCGGGGTGAGAAAGGCGGGGCAGAAATGTTGTAAATAAATAAATAATACTTTCTTAAATGTGGTCCTGCCAATATGGCAGAGTCGTATCATATGTGCAATTAGCCTTTTAAAAAATTTAATTACTGGGTTCTTTTTTTTCTTCTCCAGTTGACAGATGTGTTAACCTCCTTCACGGCTGCCTTTAAAGATCCCCTGATGGCGGACCCTCCTCCCTGGTTCAAGGTGTTCATTTACCTGGAAGCTTTTTTACACCTGCCTTTCTTCCCTATAGCAGTCTATGCATTCTGGAAAGGTGAGTGGGAATGCGGGAAGAGAAGTGGGGCACCAACACTGTCAAATGAAGGCGGCGTGACACCTACTGGACTGTCATGGCTCAAGGCTATGGAATCCATGGGAAATGCAAAGAGACAGAATGGGGGATGATGCCAGGCTCAAGGGCAGTACGTGTGAAAAAGATCTTGGGGTCCTCGTGGACAACAAGTTAAACATAAGCCAACAATGTGATGTGGCGGCAAAAAAAGCCAATGGGATTTTAACCTGAATAATAATAATAATAATAATAATAATAATACTTTATAACCCGCTACCATCTCCCAAAGGACTCGGTGTGGCGTACAAGAGGCATACCCAATACATCAATAAACAACACAACAACAATACATCAATAAATAACTCAAGCAATAGACATTAAACAGCACGACGCAATGTAAAATCAGTGTCAGGGCCAGTTGTAATGGATTAAAAAATTTAAAAACTGGGCATGCCCGGGTGAAATGGATAGGTATAGTGTCTAGATTAGCGGTTTTCAACCTGGGGGTCGCGACCCCTAGGGGTCGCCTGGCCATTTCGGAGGGGTCGTGAAGCCGCCTCCTTTGGCCCCGCCACAAGGGTGCGGGCCAGCCGAGGGGTTCTCCACGTGAGGCCCGGCCTCGCGCAAAGCCTGCCTCGCGTTCTCGCCATCCGGGAGTTCTGTGTGGAGGTCTCATTGGTATGTGGAAGCCAGCACTTAATCGGTTGAAGGTACTGCAAATCAATATTTTTTTTTCTGATTAATCATGATGCTTTAATTATGTTGAATTTGTAACAATTAAAGCACATCCTTCATATCAGATATTTACATTACTATTTGTAACAGTAGCAAAATTACAGTTATAAAGGAGCAACGAAAAAAATTTTATGGTTGGGGGTCACCACAACATGAGGAACCATATTTAGGGGTCCCGGTGTTATAAAGGTTGAGAACCACTGGTCTAGATCTAGGGAAGTCATGCTCCCCGTGCTCTATTCTGCCTTGGTTAGACCACACCTGGAATATTATGTCCAATTCTGGGCACCACAATTAAAGGGAGATATTGACAAGCTGGAATGTGTCCAGAGGAGGATGACTCAAATGATCCAGGGTCTGGATCATTTGAGGAGCGGCTTAAAGAGCTGGGCATGTTTAGCCTGAAGAAGAGAAGGCTGAGAAGAGACATGATAAGAAAAGGTAAAGGTTTTCTCCTGACATGAAATCCAGTCGTGACCGACTCTGGGGTGTGGTGCTCATCTCCATTTCTGAGCCAAAGAGTTGTCTGTAGACACCTCCAAGGTCATGTGGCCAGCATGACTGCACGGAGCGCTGTTACCTTATCTATTGGCTCCCCGACTTTGGAACTCATTACCTGGAGAGATCAGGAAAGCCCCTTCACTAGAAATGTTCAAAAAGAACCTTAAAACCTGTCTCTTCCGCTGTGCCTTTGGTGAGTAGGTGCATAACATGACACCATTGCTCCCCCCCAATGCTCTTCCCACTGGAATACACACACCCTCCAAATGGGAAGTTTAGCTTCACAACTCTGTGTGTTTTTATGAGTTCCCTGCAAATAGCCTGCTCCTATTTTTATCTCATAGGAGTCTTTTAAATCATTTTATCCTGTACATTTGGCCCGCCCATTGTTATTGTGATTGTGTTTATTGGAATGTTATTTTATGTCTGTGGTTTTTTCCCCCCCTTTATGTAATTTTGATGATGTTGTTTGTTGTTTATGCTCTAGTTTTATTTTGCTGTGATTTGTTGTCCGGGCTTGTAAGCTGCTCCGAGTCCCCACAGGGGAGATGGTGGCAGGGTATAAATAAAGTTGATTATTATTGTTGTTGTTGTTGTTGTTGTTTTTGATCTCACATTTGCATGTTTTCGAAATGCTAAGTTGGCAGAAGCTGGGGCTGACAGTGGAAGCTTATGCCACTCCTCTGATTCGAACCTGCGACAAGTTTAGCAGCTTAGTGGTTTAATAGATAGGTAGATGGATGGATAGAAAGACTGGATGGATGGATGGATGGATGGATGGATGGATGGATGGATGGATAGATAGACAGACAGTTACATAGGAAGATGGATGGATAGAAAGACTGGGTAGATAGATAGATAGATGGATGGATGGATGGATGGATGGATGGATAGATAGATAGATAGATAGATAGATAGATAGATAGATAGATAGATAGATAGATAGATAGATAGATAGTTACATAGATAAGTAGATGGGTAGATGGGTAGATAGAAAGATTGGATGGATAGACAGACAGTTACATATGAAGATGGATGGATAGAAAGACTGGATGCACCAGTGGGGACTCTAGTGACATGATAGCCATTATATGAGACATGATAGCCATGTATAAATATGTGAGAGGAAGTCCTAGGGAGGAGGGAGCGAACTTGTTTTCTGCTGATCTCGAGACTAGGACGCAGAACAATGGCTTAAAAATACAAGAAAGGAGAACATCTGAACATTAGGAAGAACTTCCTGACTGTGAGAGCTGTTCAGAAGTGGAACTCTCTGACCCGGAGTGTGGTAGAGGCTCCTTCTTTGGAAGCTTTTAAACAGAGGCTGGATGGCCATCTGTCGGGGGTGCTTTGAATGCAATTTTCCTGCTTCTTGGCAGAATGGGGTTGGACTGGATGGCCCAGGAGGTCTCTTCCAACTTTATGATTCCTAGAATCATATAGTTGGAAGAGACCTCATGGGCCATACAGTCCAACCACCTGCCAAGAAGCAGGAATATTGCATTCAAAGCACCCCTGACAGATGGCCACCCAGCCTCTGTTAAAAACACAACTGCCACTTGAGCTCAGACCCTGGCTTATATAGGTTAAACGGGAATGACTCACTGCCAGAACAATGAGCCACTAATTGCTGCCCTGCAACTGTCAATCACTGCTGGCTAAAAGAATTTAGCCTCTCCCCGCCTCTCAAACAAAGCAAACACACCCAGCAGCTAATTTTAAACACTCACTCAGATTCCTAGTGCCCTCTAAGACAAGGCTTACCGGAAGCAGAAGGGAACAAAATGGCTTCTTGCTTCCTCAACTTCTGTGGGAGCACAACTTCTATGATTCCCTCCTGATGTTTCACGCACATCTACGGCAGACAACCTCAGAATTTGTGAGGTTGTAATAATTTGCGACCGTTTTATTTGTTAGAGCTCTCAAAATGGATTTGGGGATGTTTGAGGCAATCTTTGTCCCGTTCTGCCTTTTGTCCAGGTAACTGCAGGTGGATCCGGACCCCGGCCATCATCTACGCCAGCCATGTGGCCACCACCGTGACGGCCATCTTGTCGCACTTCCTGTTTGCCGACTTCTCCAAGTCCCATCCTCCTGGCCCCGAGACCCTCTACGAGCGCTTGTCCCTGTCCTCCTTTTATCTCCCCTACTTGCTGGTCCCGCTCCTGCTCCTCTTTACCATGCTGCTCAGCCCTTCGTACAACCAGGTGGAAAAAAGGAAAAAGAAATAATAACGGGGCGGGGGGCGGTCAACAAAAGAAAGGATTGTTTCAGGACTAGAAAATAGATATTAATATTATTGTGTCATATCAGAAGCATTGTATACATGAGTAAAAATAGGTAAAGGTTGTCCCCTGACATTAAGTCCAGTTGTGTCCAACTCTGGAGCGTGGTGCTCATCTCCATTTCTAAGTTGAAGAGCTGGCGTTGTCTGTAGACACCTCCAAGGTCATGTGGCCAGCATCACTACATGGAGCACCATTACCTTCCTATTGATCTACCCATATTTGCATGTTTTTGAACTGCTAGGTTGGCAAAAGCTGGGGCTGACAGCGGGAGCTCACTCTGCTCACCAGATTCGAACCTGTGACCTTTCAGTCAACAAGCTTAGCAGCTCAGTGGTTTAACCCACTGCGCCGGGCTCCTTGAAATCATACCTAATACCAAACCCTATATTTTGACTATATTTGGGCTGGAAGCATACCATAGAATCACACTGAAGGACTTAAGGAAGGCCCACAAACACTTCCTAGGTAGGGATATTTTTGGGAGCGTAAGTGGGTAAGGGGAATTTATTTCCAATAATGGCTAGATATTTCTAATTTACATTTTTTAAAACCTCATTTAACTTTCTGGTTCCTAGTGTGTAATGGAAATAACTGGATTAAAAAAATGGAAACTAAATTGAAATTGTGTTTTCGAAAGATTTAATGGCGGGAATCACTGGGTTGCTGTGAGTTTTCTGTGCTGCCTGTCCATGTTCCAGAAGCATTTTCTCCTGAATGCGTCTCCTAAATTGAAATTATCAATGTGTGGAAAAGCAGAACTGTTTTGGATTTGCATGGGATTTAGGATGATTTGTTTACCTTTGGTTTGCTGTAACTTGAATGCATTGAAACACAGTTGAGGGGAAGGGAAGAAAGGAAAAGAAAAGGAGGTCGGGGAAGAAAGAAAAAGGAGGGAAGGAAGGAATTAAAAGGAAAGGAAAAGTATTGATATTAGGGAAAGAAAAAAAGAAGGGAAGAGAAAGGAAGGAAAAATAAAAAGGGACGAAGGGAAGAAAGGAAAAGAAAGGGAGGTAGGGGAAGAAAGAAAAAGGAGGGAATTAAAAGGAAAGGAAAAGTATTGAGAGGACGGAAAGAAAGAAAAAAAGAAGGGAAGAGAAAGGAAGGAAAAATAAAAAGGGACGAAGGGAAGAAAGGAAAAGAAAGGGAGGTAGGGGAAGAAAGAAAAAGGAGGGAATTAAAAGGAAAGGAAAAGTATTGAGATTAGGGAAAGAAAGAAAAAGAAGGGAAGAGAAAGGAAGGAAAAATAAAAAGGGATGAAGGGAAGAAAGGAAAAGAAAGGGAGGTAGGGGAAGAAAGAAAAAGGAGGGAATTAAAAGGAAAGGAAAAGTATTGAGAGGACGGAAAGAAAGAAAGAAAAAGAAGGGAAGAGAAAGGAAGGAAAAATAAAAAGGGATTAAGAGAAGTAAGAAATAGAAGGAGGTCGGGGAAGAAAGAAAAAGGAGGGAAGGGAGGAATTAAAAGGAAAGGAAAAGTATGATCTGATACTTCATCTTGTTGATGGGAAGCTTTCCACTGAAGTGGAAATAATCGATCGGACCAGAGGCGGCCCTAGGTAATTTTCAACGGTAAGCAAACAGTATTTTGGCGCCCCCCCCCCCCCCCCCCCCAACCAATCATTGATATATATTTTCTGTTCATCGTGGGAGTTCTGTGTGCCATATTTGGTTCAATTCCATCATTGGTGGAGTTCAGAATGCTCTTTGATTGTAGGTGAACTATAAATCCCAGTAACTACACTTGCCGCACTTGCTCCCTTGCCTGGCCCGCTTTGGGTCCGGAGGCGTGCCTGAAGACCCTGGCATGTGCACCAAAAGTCACCTCTTCTCCTGACTTTCTCCTCAGCCATTGGGACCAAGAGAGAGAGAGAGAGGTGGAGATGCCCACTTTTCCTGAAGGTAGGCGCAAAAACAAAGGAGGGAGCGGAGGTGGGAGATACCTCCAGCCGGAGGGGCTCTCTCTCTCTCTCTCTTGGTCCCAATGGCTGAAGAGAAAGTCAGGAGAAGAGGCGACTTTTGGTGCGCACGCTGGGGTCTTCAGACATGCCTCCGGACCCGAAGCGGGCCAGGCGCAGCAGCTCCGCCCCTTGGCCCACCCGCGGATTGGGGAGAGGAGGCGGGTGGAGCGCCGGGGGATCGGGAAAGGGAGCTGGTCATGGGGAAGGGATCGAATACGGAGAACGATTGAGCGCCGGCTCTGCTCGCGCACCCGGTGGCCGGGTGGAGCAGGAACGAGAGAGGCTCAAGGGCCCGGCCCTTTGGGAAGAGGATCACCCAGCAGCGAGGCAAGAAAGCCGAGGCTCCCCCCGGACTGCTAGGGCTGTTGTGAGCTGAGGGGGCGCTCCTCAAGTGGCGGTCAAGGGGCATTTACAGAGGCGCCTCTGCGCCCCTGGCAAAAAAAGTGTTCTGCAACCGCTTACTTTGCGTAATGGATGAGCCGCCCCTGATCGGACAAATGGCAAGCTATTTAACCTCAGCAGACTGAAAGCCAAAACCAAGATCACAACAACATCTGGTATAGAACTCCAGTATGCTGATGATAACGTATTCTATGCACATTCAGAAGAAGACCTACAAAACACTTTTGCGGAAGCATACGAGAAGCTCAGCCTTTCATTAAACATCAAGAAAAACAAAGTGCTCTTCCAGTAGTCACCAGCCTTCTCATCTGCAATGCCAGAAATACAGCTCAGTGGTGTAACATTAGAAAATGTTGACCCTTTCCATTCACTTGGCAGGCACCTCTCCACAAAAGTCAACATTGACACTGAAATACAACACCGCCTGAGCTCTGCGAGTGCAGCATTTTTCCAAATGAAGGTGGGAGTGCTTGAGGATCGGGACATTTGTAGGGAGACCGAGGTGTTTGTCTAGTCACCTACGGACAGTCACCTACGTATCCACCGCCAACACACTACACTTGGAAGGCCATGATCCTCCGACTACGAGGGATTGCCTAACGAATGGATATAATCAGGAATGGAAGCAAGGAGTTTCGAAAAAATATTTATTACCTGATTTTTTTTGGAAAGCATTGTTTAATAATCTTTAAAAAGTAGGGAAAGGGGAGGTGTATAAATACAGAACAGTCTGGTGGTTGGTTCAAAACATTGCCATGTGGTGCTGGACATTTTAAAAAAATATTAGAAAATATATTAAGTGCATCCGTCCACACCTTCTCAGTCAATCGTATCAATTCTACAGCAAGAACCGAGCTCAAAACCAGCTTTGCTCAAACACCGAAGTCCCAGAGATGGTTAAGGCTGGGGAGAGTCCAACATCAAGAGGGGATCCATTCAGGTTCACTTTTCGGCCTGCTGGGAAGTGACTTTGGTCCAGTTCTGTGCAATGTTTGGAAGCTGGCCATTGCTAAATGCTTGGTCTTCTGGAATGGCTTAAGGCCTCCCGGTCTGTTTTGTGCCGCCAGTCTCTTTATTTCTGGAAAATGAACTGGTCGATGAATTCGTTTTGGTCCGCTTCTATTTTGCACAGCGTTTCGTACTCGACTCGGTACCTGGAAAGAAGGAAAGGCAAAGGTAAACAAAAGGTAAACAAAACCTATCTTTGAGCACATTTATCCCCATTCACTGCCCAAGTTTATAACAAGACATTGTGATTAGTACTTCAAACAAGGTGGAATGTGTCCAGAGGAGGTCTGGAGAACAAGCCCTATGAGGAGCGGCTTAAAGAGCTGAGCATGTGTAGCCTGAAGAAGAGAAGGCTGAGAGGAGACATGATGAGGGCCATGTATAAATATGTGAGAGGAAGTCATAGGGAGGAGGGAGCAAGCTTGTTTTCTGCTGCCCTGGAGACTAGGACGCAATGGAGCAAGGAAAGGAGATTCCATCTAATCTAATGTCCTTAGGGAGGGTGTTCCATAGCCAAGGGGCCACCACTGAGAAGGCCCTGTCTCTCGTCCCCGCCAAATGTACTTGTGATGAAGGTGGGATTGAGAGCAAGGCCTCCCTGGACGATCTTAAAGTCCTAGATGGTTCACAAGGGGAGATGCATTCGGACAGGTAAATTGGGCCAGAACTATTTAGGGCTTTATAGGCTAAAGCCAGCACTTTGAATTGTGCCCGGCAGCAGACTGGCAGCCAGTGGAGCTGGCACAACAGAGGAGTTGTACGCTCCCTGAGTGCCGCTCCCGTTAGTAATCTGGCTGTCGTCCGTTGGACCATTTGAAGCTTCCGAACAGTCTTCAAAGGCAACCCCACGTAGAGTGCATTGCAGTAGTCTATACGGGATGTAACCAGAGCGTGGAATACCGTGACTAAGTCAGGCTTCCCAAGGTACGGGCGCAGCTGGTGCACATGTTTTAACTGTGTAAATGCTCCCGTGATCACTGACGAAATTTGGGTTTCCAAGCTCAGCGATGAATCCAGGATCACACCCAAGCTGCGAACATGTGTCTTCAGGGGGAGTGTAACCCCATCCAACACATATGTTTTCTGATGGTCTTTGACAACCCTAACCCAATCCCTGGGTTAAGAAATACTGGGTTAGAGGATCTCTCTCTACCTTTCAAGCTGCGTAGTCTTCTCCGCTATTAACGCCTGGAGTTGCTGCTGCTGAGCCTCCCTTTGCTTTGCGATGGACTTCAGCAAGTTGCGGGCACCGATGGCCTACGGAAAACAGGGAAAGAGGTACGGTTGGGTGCATCTGGTTTCAGCAATTCCCTTTTTCTGCTGCAAAGTACCAAAGAATCCACTTGAAAGGAATCCAATCAATACGGAGCACCCTTGGCAGCCACCAAACAGCAATACATTACCTTGATTTTCTCATTTTCGGTTGTTTTCGCAAGCTGGTCGACGAGCTCAATGAGGCTGCCCACTATTTTCTTGAATTCCCCAATCTCTGTTCAACGAGAAACAAAATCACCAGATGAACAAAATACACTTCTGTCAGGAAAGAGGGTAAGGCAGAAAGTACTACAATTTAATTTCGCCAACCATTTCCGCAGAAAGGCAAGATTAGGCATTTCCTCCCACCGTTTACTTCCTATCTATAGAAAATTTATCATGTCAGAAATAGTATAGTAATGTCTTTAAAAACTTGGCATTATGCTAATTTCCTTTTTGAAATAATAATCTTTATTGACAATTTTCCATAAAAACAATTAAGAGTAATGAGAAAGAAAAGAAAAAAATCCCAAAAAACCATATACAATATATACTCAAGTATAAGCCAACCTGAATATAAGCCGAGGCACCTAATTTTACCACAAAAAACTGGGAAAACGTATTAACTCGAGTATAAGCCAAAGGTGGGAAATGCAGCAGCTACTGGTAAATTTCAAAATAAAAATAGATACAATATAATTACATTAATTGAGGCATCAGGAGGTTAAATGTTTTGAATATTTACATAAAACTATAATTTAAGATAAGACTGTGGAACTCTGATTAAACCATTATTCTAACTTTCTTCAATGTAAATGTGCTTGCATATCCTTCCAATAAAAATAGAGCAAAATAATAAATGTAATAATACTAATTATAATAATAAGGTCCTCCATTGTGCACGTGGCAGGGCTCAGGCTGCATTGTAGGAAGTTGTCTGTCGTTTCCTCTTCTCCGCACTCACATGTCATGGACTCCACTTTGTGGGCCCATTTCTTAAGGTTGGCTCTGCATCTCGTGGTGCCAGAGCGCAGTCGGTTCAGCACCTTCCAAGTCGTCCAGTTTTCTGTGTGCCCAGGACGAAGTTTCTCATCTAGTATCAGCCACTGATTGAGGTTCTGGGTTTTCGTCTGCCACTTTTGGACTCTCGCTTGCTTAGGTGTTCCTGCAAGTATCTCTGTAGATCTTAGGAAGCTATTTATTGATTTAAGGCATTGGCTTGCTGGCTGATATCCAAACCAAGGATGGGCCAGAGTTGTCACTGCCTTTCATTAAGGCTGCTACTTCCCAACAGATGTCAGGTGGTGCAATACCAGCTAGACAGTATAATTTCTCCAGTGGAGTTGGGAGTAGACATTGTGTGATAATGCAGTATGTCTCATTAAGAGCCACATCCACTGTTTTAACGTGGTGAAATGTATTCCACACTCAGCAGCAGAGAAGCAAAGCGCAAAGGCAGATGCCTTCACTGTGTCTAGTTGTGATCCCCAGGTTGTGCTAGTCAGCTTTCGTACAACATTATATTAATTGTATTGTATTTATTGTTTTTGTTTATTGCTTTTGTTTTTTATTATTGTGTTGTTGGGTTTGGCCTCATGTAAGCCGCTCCAAGTCCCTTGGGGAGATGGTGGCGGGGTATAAATAAAGATTATTATTATTATTATTATTTCTAGCACCCACTTTGTGCTTGATAGTCAGGCAGTGCTTCTTATAAGTCAGAGCACAGTCCAGGGTCACTCCCAGGTATTTGGGATGCAATACTCCCGTCGGATTCCTTTTCAGGTAATCTTCAGAGTTCGAGGTGTTTGTCTATTCTTAAGATGAAAGTCTGCATTTTAGATGGTTTAGGAATCAACGGTTTTCCCCGTAATAGGCAGTAAGAGCACCTAAAGCTTCGGAGAGCTTCTGTTCAACCATTACAAAGCTCCCTGCTTGGGCGGTGATGGCACGATCGTCAGCATAGAAGAAACTCTCTGTCCCTTCTGGCAGTGGCTAGTCATTTGTGTAAATATTACACATTTTACACATGGCAGCTACAAAAGTCTCTGGAAGATGACAATGACTTGCAAAGTAAGCACCATATAATTAAACAGGAAATAACACTTGCAAACCAGGAACAGAAAACAGAGCTTCTAGGGCCTGGTCCACCCACTTCGACCTTCCATTGTGGATCCGCCACTTACTGTCAACAAATATTTTGCACTCCTCTTTCAGCTCCACCGTTTGCTGGGATACTTCTGGGTCTAAAACCCGCAGCTTGTTCAGCTCATCAAAGTGAAGCCCGGCTTCCCCCAGGATGTCTTTCGCCATCTTTTCCGTCTCCTGCAACAAAGTAATATCACAAATATATGTTATTTAAAGAAGGAAGAAGGCAGTGATTTTGTTCAGGGAACAGGCTCTTTGCCTGTATTGGCGAATAATGCGTGCAGATCCCAGTAAGGTGGCCTTTTGCAGCTGGCAGGTGGTAATCTTGTCAGCGCTGGTTGTTTTTAAGTGCAGGCCAAGGTCTTTAGGCACTGCAACCAGTGTGCTGATCACCACTGGGACCACCTTGACTGGCTTGTAATTAATAATAATAATAATAATAATAATAATAATAATAATAATAATAGATGCCACAAATCTGCCTGCGACAAAGAACTGGTGGGATCACAAGCCGGAAAACGTTACACAAAATGAACACGTCAAATTCCTCTGGGACTTCCGAATTCAGACAGACAGAGTTTTGGAGCATAATACTCCTGACTTCACAATCGTGTTAAAAAACAAAGTATGGATTGTGATGTTACAATCCCAGGTGACAGCAGGATTGAAGAGAAACAACTGGAAACGCTGACACGATATGAGGATTTAAAGATCGAACTGCAAAGACTCTGGCATAAGCCAGTCAAGGTGGTCCCAGTGGTGATCGGCACACTGGGTGCAGTGCCTAAAGACCTTGGCCTGCACTTAAACACAATTGGCGCTGACAAAATCACCACCTGCCAACTGCAAAAGGCCACCTTACTGGGATCTGCACACATTATTCGCCGATACATCACACAGTCCTAGACACTTTATTTTATTTTATTTTATTTACAACATTTATATGCTGCCCTTCTCACCCCGATTGGGACTCAGAGCGGTTTACACGGTATCTATACATACAATATATTAAATTATGATCACAGCACAATATCAGTATTATATATTACTATATTGTACTACACCATTATATTGTAATATTATTAGTAATATTACATGTAATATAAGATATATAATTATAATATTGTATTATTAGCTCCTGGTGGCGCAGTGGGTTAAACCCCTGTGCCGGCAGGACTGAAGACCGCCAGGTCGCAGGTTCGAATCCGGGGAGAGGCGGATGAGCTCCCTCTATCAGCTCCAGCTCCTCATGCAGGGACACGAGAGAAGCCTCCCACAAGGATGATAAAAACATCAAAATCATCCAGGCATCCTCTGGGCAACGTCCTTGCAGACAGCCAATTCTCTCACAACAGGAGTCACTCCTGACACGACAATATATATATATTGTATTACATTATAATATTACAAATGTTATATGTATATACAATATATTATATTATATTATTAGTAAAGCACAGGAGACACTTGGGAAGGGTCCAACGTGTGATCCAGTACAACAGCCAGGAGAGTGTCTGCTGTGGATTCATTTTGTTGTGTTTCAAATAATAATAATAATTATTATTATTATTTATACCCCGCCTTAATAATAATAATAATAATTTATAATAATTATTATGTATTGTCGAAGGCTTTCATGGCCGGAATCACTGGGTTGTTGTAGGTTTTTCGGGCTATATGGCCATGTTCTAGAGGCATTCTCTCCTGACGTTTCGCCTGCATCTATGGCAAGCATCCTCACTACCTCTGAGGATGCTTGCCATAGATGCAGGTGAAACGTCAGGAGAGAATGTCTCTAGAACATGGCCATATAGCCCGAAAAAACCTACAACAACCCAATAATTATTATATTTATTTATACCCCACCTTTCTCCCCATGGGGATGATGGATCTGGATTTAACTTGGCACACATTCACATCTGGAACAACTTTAAATATTGGCAAGAATTGATAGAAGATGATGGGAATTGGAGTCAATTCAAACCTGTCATGGTCACCCATAATAGATCTGGACCAAACTTGGTACGCATGACCTCCTTTACCCAACATAATGGGTTCTTCCCAACAGGGAGTGCCTACTGCCCTCAATAGGGATGTCGGAGTGCATCACCCATCATCCCCAGATCTTCTTGTACCTTGGGAAAGGCGGAATTGAGCTTTGTGGCCTCCCTTTCCAAGCATAAATGGGTCCTTCCCAACCCCTCCTCTATAGAGCAGGGGTTCCTAACCTTTGGTCCTCTAGGCGTTTTGGACTTCAGCTCCCACAATTCCTAACAGCTGATAAGTTGGCTAGGATAACTGGGAGTTGAAGTCCAAAACACCTGGAAGGCCCAAGGTTGGGAACCCCTGCTCTATAGAGACATTGGACTACATCTCCCATCATCCCCAGACCCCTAGAGCCTTGGAAAAGGCTGGAATGGGCTTTGTGGTCTCCTGTTCAAAGCCTGGATGGGTCCTTCCCGGCAACCAAGGCCTCTTGTATTCAATTGGGGGCTTTGGACTGCACCCTCCACCATCCCCAGGCTCTTACCTGCCCTCCAGGCCCCCTCCCCGCGCTGCCACGGCGACAGCATCAGCCCCGCCCCATTGGAACGTACCATTCTTCCAATGGGGGAGAGAGAATGTCCAAAGGAGCGCTTTGCATTGTGGGAAGTGTAGTTCCCATTGGAAGAGTCCAAATCAGAAAGAAGGGGAAAGGGGAATCGAGAGGCCCCCTTGTCCCAATGAAGCTTTAGACTAGAAGTGCACAGGATTTTTCCTCTAATAATAATAATAATAATAATAATAATAATAATAATAAATATTATTATTAATATTATTATTGGGTTTTTCATTATTTTTCATTATTGTAGGTTTTTCAGGCTGTCTGGCCATGTTCCAGAAGCATTCTCTCCTGACGTTTCGCCCACATTTATGGTAGGCATCCTCAGAGGTTGTGAGGTCTGGGTTGTTGTAGGTGTTTTCGGGCTATATGGCCATGGTCTAGAGGCATACTCTCCTGACGTTTCGCCTGCATCTATGGCAGGCCTGTTGGAACTAGGAAAATGGGTTTATATATCTGTGGAATGACCAGGGTGGGACAAAGGACTCTTGTCTGCTGGAGCTAGGTGTGAATGTTTCAACTGACCACCTTGATTAGCATATAATGGCCTGACAGTGCCTGGAGCAATCTTTTGTTGAGAGGTGATTAGATGTCCTTGTTTGTTTCCTCTCTGTTGTTGAGCTGTTCTAATTTTAGAGGGTTTTTTAAAATTGGTAGCCAGATTTTTTTCATTTTCATGGTTTCCTCCTTTCTGTTGGAATTGTCCACATGCTTGTGGATTTCAATGGCTTACCAATATTAAAAAACTCTAAAACTAGAACAGCACAACAACAGAGAGGAAACAAACAAGGACATTTAATCACCTCTCAACAAAAGATTGCTCCAGGCACTGCCAGGCAATCAAATGCTAATCAAGGTGGTCAGTTGAAACATTGACACCTAGCTCCAGCAGACAAGAGTCCTTTGTCCCACCCTGGTCATTCCACAGATATATAAACCCTTTTTCCTAGTTCCAACAGACCTCACTACCTCTGAGGATGCTTGCCATAGATACAGGCAAAACGTCAGGAGAGAATGCTTCTAGAACATGGCCATATAGCCCGAAAAAACCTACAACAACCCAGTGATTCCGGCCATAAAAGCCTTCGACAATACATTATTATTATTCACCTCTCAGCAAAAGATTCTCCCAGGCACTAAGAAGCCACACCTAAAACTGTCAGGCCATCAAATGCTAATCAAGCTGGCCAATGGCAACATTCACACTTGCCTCCAACAGAGAAGAGTTCTTTCTCCCACCCTGGACATCATTCCACAGATATATAGACCCCATTTTCCTAGTTTCCAACAGATTCCAATAGATGTGGGCGAAACGTCAGGAGAGAATGCTTCTGGAACATAGCCAGACAGCCCGAAAAACCTACAACAGCCCAGTGCTTCCGGCCATGAAAGCCTTCGACAACACATTATTATTATTATTATTATTATTATTATGAAACATAATAAAAATAAGTATATAAATATAATATAAAAATAAATATATAAATAATATATATATATATAAATATTATAAATATGAAACATTAAAAAATAAAAATCATACAATAAATATGAAACATAATAAAAATACATTCCATTATTGCTATGAAAATTTTTAAGAAATAATAATTAAGCCCTTTGCTATAATTTCCCATTAAAATATTGTAAAACCATTAAAATATTGTAAAAATATTGTATTTCCCATTAAAATATTGTAAAATATTTGAGGATCCCTCAAAGACATCAAATTGTCTGTGCGTATTTTTCGTGCTTTTAAAATATATATATAACATGTCTTTATTAATGTTTGAAAAGAAAAGCAGAGGGCCGAGAAAGTGGATTTGAATGGCGCTCGATAGCTCTGCCTTCGACTCCTTTTGCCTGGCTGGGGAGGGAGGGAGGGTACGAGGCGGCTGACGTCATACGTAACGTCATCCTCGTCCTCTTATGATTGCGTAAGGAGCGCTGCGACGCGATGGCATGCCGGGATTTGTAGGCGGAAGTTTCTGACTGGCGAGGGCGGCCTGTTGCTGGAGGCTAGAGCTTCGAGCTCCGCCCTTCGGTTGGGCTTGGGACGCGGAGGGCGCGCTGACCCGCTCGGGAGCCGGTTCAGTTCAGCCCGGGGAGTTTCGGAGGCCTCCGAGAGCAACGGCCGCGACCCCTTCGGCATTTTGAGGAAGGAAAGAGGCGGCGGGTGAGGAGGACGCCCAAAGCGAGGCGGGCGGGCCCCGGAGAGCGGGAGGGAGGGGGAGGCATTAAAGGGTGGGATTGATTTTGTGTTTGGTGGGTCAGTGCCTGGAAAGGAAGTGGAGCGGGCGGGCGGGGATAATTGATTTGGGAGCCCTGATTCATTTTCAGGCAAGGTTAGAAAAGGAGAAGAGGAAGGCTATAGTAGAGGGTCTTTAATAGGGACAGGTGGACGTTCAAGAGGGAGGGCTTTGGATGAATGCACAACAGGTAGACCTTTACATGAATGCACAACAGGTAAAACTTTAGGTGTATGTCCCAACAGATAGAGCTTAGGTGGATGGTGAGCTTTGGGTGGATAGATAGAACATTAGGTGAATGTATTAAAGGTAGAACTTTAGGTGGGTGGTGAGCATTGGGTGAATTTCCAACAGGTAGAACTTTAGGTGGATGTCCCAACAGATAGAGCTTAGGTGGATGGTGAGCTTTGGGTGGATAGATAGAACATTAGGTGAATGTATTAAAGGTAGAGCTTTAGGTGGGTGGTGAGCATTGGGTGAATTTCCAACAGGTAGAACTTTAGGTGGATGTCCAACAGGCAGAGCTTTGGGTGAATGTACCAAAGGTAGAGCTTTAGGTGCATGTCCAACAGGTAGAACTTTAGGTGGACGTCCAACAGGTAGAGCTTTAGATGAATGCACAACAGGTAGAACTTTAGGTGCATGTCCAACAGGTAGACCTTTAGATGCATGTCCAGCAGGCAGGCTTCGGGTGGATCTCCCAAAGGTGGATGGTGAGCATTGGGTGAATGTCCAACAGGTAGAACTTTAGGTGGGTATTCAACAAGCAGAGCTTCAGGTGGATATCCCAACGGTCGAGCTTAAGTGGATGGTGAGTTTTGGGTGAATGTCCAACAGGTAGAACTTTAGGTGCATATGCAACAGGTAGAACTTTGGATGCACATCCAACAGGCAGAGCTTTAGGTGGATGGTGAGCATTCGGTGAATGTTCAACAAGTAGAACTTTAAGTGGATGTCCCAATAGGCAGAGCTTTAGGTGGCTGTACCAAAGGTCAAGCTTAAGTGGATGGTGAGTTTTGGGTGAATGTCCAACAGGTAGAACTTTAGGTGGATGTCCAGCAGGCAGAGCTTCAGGTGGCTCTACCAAAGGTCGAGCTTAAGTGGATGGTGAGTTTTGGGTGGATGTCCCAACAGGTAGAACTTTAGGTGGATGTCCAACAGTCAGAGCTTCAGGTGGATGTTCCAAAGGTAGAGCTTTAGGTGGATGGTGAGCATTGGGTGAATGTCCAACAGGTAGAACTTTAGGTGGATGTCCAACAGTCAGAGCTTCAGGTGGATGTTCCAAAGGTAGAGCTTAGGTGGATGGTGAGCTTTGAGTGAATGTCCAACAGGTAGAACATTAGGTGGATGTACCAAAGGTAGAGCTTTAGGTGGATGGTGAGCATTGGGTAAATGTCCAACAGGCAGAGCTTTAGGTGGATGTACCAAAGGTAGAGCTTTAGGTGGATGGTGAGCATTGGGTGAATGTCCAACAGGTAGAACGTTAGGTGGATGTCCCAACAGACAGAGCTTCAGGTAGTTGTCCCAAAGGTAGAGCTTTAGATGGATTGTGAGCATTGAATGAATGTTCAACAAGAAAAACTTTAGGTGGATGTCCAACAGGCAGAGCTTTAGGCGGATGTACTAAAGGTCGAGCTTAAGTGAATGGTGAGTTTTGGGTGAATGTCCAACAGGTAGAACGTTAGGTGGATGTCCAACAGGCAGAGCTTCAGGTAGATGTCCCAAAGGTAGAGCTTTAGGTGGATTGTGAGCATTGAGTGAATGTTCAACAAGAAGAACTTTAGGTGGATGTCCAACAGGCAGAGCTTTAGGCGGATGTACCAAAGGTCGAACTTAAGTGGATGGTGAGTTTTGGGTGAATGTCCAGCAGGTAGAACTTCAGGTGGATGTCCAACAGGCAGAGCTGTAGGTGGATGTCCCAACAGATAGAGCTTCGGTGGATGGTGAGCTTTGGGTGGTTGTCCAACAGGTAGAACATTAGGTGGATGTACTAAAGGTAGAGCTTTAGGTGGATGGTGAGTATTGGGTGGATGGCCAACAGGCAGAGCTTCGGGTGGATGTCCCAAAGGTAGAGCTTTAGGTGAATGGTCAGCTTTGGGTGAATGTCCAACAGGTAGAATTTTAGGTGGATGTCCAACAGGTAGACCTCTAGATGCATGTCCAACAGGCAGAGCTTCATATGGATGTCCCATAGGTAGAGCTTTAGGTGGATGGTGAGCATTGGGTGAATATCCAACAGGTAGAACTTTAGGTGGATGTCCAACAGGCAGAGGTTTGGGTGGATGTACCAAAGGTAGAGCTTAAGTGGATGGTGAGTTTTGGGTAAATGTCCAACAAGTAGAACTTTGGGTGGATGTCCAGCAAGTAGAACTTTAGCTCTCCCAGGGTAGTGTGATTATGGAAAACCGCCATACCTAAAAAAACATAGATGATGATGATAATAATAATAATAATAATATATTGTATTTATTACCCACTTCTCGTAACAGCTCTAGGAAGAGTACAACATACTCAAAACATATCAACATGAAATACATACAACAAAATACATGCATCAAAACATACCATTATAAAATACATACACCAAAACACAGGGTACAAAGATCAACATACAGCGGCAATAGAATACAATAGATTGTCTGGGGAGGAAGAATATTTGGCCAACTTTCATGAACATAGATGGAAATCCTACTGGTGCAGTATGCTAGTGTATGATAAAGACTTTGGTTGAAGTGTTTTAAATACGTTTTTTTCTTTGTTTCACAGAGGAGTGAAGCTTTATAACCAACATTGCCCGTCTTGCCTGTTCGAGCAGCCTTTATCCATCAGAAAGAAATATAACAGGTATGCTATGTCCCAGTTGTTTACCCTCATTTAGGGTAGAGCTGTTCAATCAGTGGTGGGATGAGGAATCAGCAAGTAGATATGTTGAATGGATTTAATGCATATACTATAATCAGAACTAAAAAGAGAATTTTGTTTATACTAATTGATCCTGTGCAATGCTGGCAGAACATATAGGTTCAGCATTGTCTTTATGCGCATGGAGGTGACATCATTGCTTTGTAGATCTAGCAGCTTTCTATGGGGCAAAGGGGGAAGGAGTTGTGTGTCATAAATGATATGGTTTTTCTTGGCAAGATTTCTTCTTGTCGTTGCCTTCCTTTGAGGCCAAGAGAGTGGGACTTGCCCAAGGTCTCCCAGTGGGGATTTGTGTCCTAGGGTTCATCCACACTGTAGGATTAACGCAGTTTGACTCCACTTGAACTGACATGGCTTAGTTCTATGGAATCATGAGAGCTGTAGTTCGACAGCGCTGTTAATCTTCTCTGCCCAGGAATTTTGGTTCCTCATCAAGCTGCCAATCCCAGGATTCCATAGCATTGAGCCAAGACAATTAAAGTGCATTTAGTATACAGTGTAGATGCACCTTAAAACTTGAATATCTGCTACAAGAATGTGAATGTATATTATTCTTATGTTAAATTGTTATTTTATGATGTTCTATACTTATTTTTGAAGTATTTGGATTGTTGTTTACATGATTTTAATATGTTGTAAGATGCTTTGGATCCTGTGAGGGACAAAAGCAGGAAATAAATAAAGATTATTATTATTATACTGACACAAAAACACAGTATGTCATAGCAAATGAGATCTCTATGTTGGATTTCGTATAACAAAACCACAAGTCAAATACTTCCCAAGCGTCTAGGACTGTGTGATGTATTTTCGAATGATGCACACAGATCCAAGTAAGGTAGCCTTTTGCAGTTGACAGATTGTGGTTTTGTCAGTGTGTATTGTTTCTAAATGCCGGTTGAGATCTTTTGGCACGGCACCCAGTGTGCCCATCACCACTGGGACCACCTGGATTGGTTTATGCCAGAGCCTTTGCAGTTCAGTTTTGAGGTCCTGATAACGGCTGAGTTTTTCGGCCTACTCACATTTTTGGTGCTTGACTCACACATTTGTAATCAAAACTATCTAGTTAATATTTAATATTTCTGACATATTCCAGCTATTTTAACGCCAGTCTTGAATTCATCAATCCCTGCACGTCGCATGATGTGTTCTGCATACAAGTTTAGTAGGTTGGGTGAGAGTAGACAGCCCTGTCGTAGTCCTTTCCCAATCTTGAGCCAGTCTGTTGTTCCGTGGTCTGTTCTTATTGTTACCACTTGGTCATGATACAGGTTCCTCAGGAGACAGACAAGGTGGCTTGGGTCTCCCCATACATACTACCAAGTTTATTATGATCCACACAGTCAAAGGCTTTCTCTGGTTTTCACTGTGGCAAGTTTTAGTGTTCAAAGAGAGATAGTGCTGTCTCTTTCGAGACGGTAATTCTTGACTTATTTATGAAGCAATATTCCCTGGAGCACAACTGAGGTTTGAAGCATGCCGAGAATGAAACAATGGTGATTATTTTGTCCACACAGCCAGGAGTGTTCAAGGAAACAAATCAATTTTTAAACAGCTGCTTTTTGTTCTTCGCCATTTATTTTTTTCACCATCTGCTAGAGCAGTTTAGAGCCACAGGTGAATATGAGTTCTGATCTAAGCCTATGCAGAGCAACTTTGGCTACCTTTTCTCCTGAGTCTACCTCTTAGGGCTGTGGTGAGAACAGAGAGAAACCTGATGTAGAATCATAGAGTTGGAAGAGACCTCGTGGGCCACCCAGTCCAACCCCCTGCCAAGAAGCAGGAAAATTGCATTCAAACCACCCCCGACAGATGGCCATCCAGCCTTTGTTTAAAAGTTTCCAGAGAAGGAGCCTCTACCACACTCCGGGGCAGAGAGTTCCACTGCTGAACAGCTCTCACAGTCAGGAAGTTCTTCCTCATGTTCAGATGGAATCTCCTTTCTTGTAGTTTGAAGCCACTGTTCCATTGCATACTAGTCTCCAGGCCAGCAGAAAGGAAGCTTGCTCCTTCCTCCCTATGACTTCCTCTCACATATTTATATATGAATATAATGTCTCCTCTCAGCCTTCTCTTCTTCAGGCTAAACATGCCCAGCTCTTTAAGCTGCTCCTCATAGGGCTTGTTCTCCAGACCCTTGATCATTTGAGTCGCTCTCCTCTGGACACCTTCCAACTTGTCAATATCTCTCTTCAATTGTGGTGCCCAGAATTGGACACAGTATTCCAGGTGTGGTCTAACTAAGGCAGAATAGAGCATGGGGAGCATGACTTCTGTGGATCTCGACACTAGACTCCTATTGATGCAGGCCCAAATCCCGTTGGCTTTTTTTGCCGCTGCATTACATTGTTGGCTCATGTTTAACTTGTTGTTCACAAAGACTCCAAGATCTTTTTCACACGTACTGCTCTCGAGCCAGGCATTGTCCCCCATTCTGTATCTTTGCATTTTGTTTTTCCTGCCAAAGTGGAGTACCTGTTGAACTTCATTTTGTTAGTTTTGGCCCATCTCTCTAATCTGTGAAGATCGTTTTGAATTCTGCTCCTGTCTTCTGGAGTCTTGGCTATCCCTCCCAATTTGGTGTCACCTGCAAACTTGATGATCATGCCTTCTGACCCTACATCTAAGTCATTAATAAAGATGTTGAACAGGACCGGGCCCAGGATGGACCCTGCTTTTGGCACTCCACTCGTCACTTCTTTCCAGGATGAAGAGGAAGCATTGGGGAGAATCATCCTCTGGGCTTGTCCACTTAACCAATTACTGATCCACCTAACCGTAGTTTTGCCTAGCCCACATTGAACCAGTTTCCTTGCCAAAAGGTCTTATCGAAAGCCTTACAGAAGTCCAGATACGCTCCATCCACGGCATTCCCCGCATCTACCCAGCTTGTGACTCTATTGAAAAAAGAGATCAGATGAGCCTGGCATCACTTGTTTTTGATAAATCCGTGTTGACTATTAGCGATGACCGCATTTGTTCCTAAGTGTTTGCAGACCACTTCCTTAACAATCTTTTCCAGAATTTTGCCTGGTATTGACGTGAGGCTGACCGGGCGGTAATTGCTTGGGTCACCCTTTGTTCCCTTTTTGAAGATTGGGACCACATTGGCCCTCCTCCAATCTGCTGGAACTTCTTTTGAAGCAGAACAGGAATAAGGTAGCCAATGTGTAGGTCTGCGGCAGTGTTTATGGCAAGTTTGGAAAAATCTCTTTCACTCCAATTCACTTTCATTGAGTTTCACATGGTGCCTTATGAAGCAACGGCAACCTCTTTAACTCCAGGGGCCAAATTCCATTTTAGAGAACTTCTCACAGTCCTATGGTCATTCTGCACAGGCCCAGAAGCCAAAGGGTGGGGCTTGAAATGCCAGCGTATTTTTAGCAGAAAGCACGGACTGCCAATTACTGAATGGGGAGGAAGTGGACTCATGGAAAAGCTGGGCAAAGCTTTCAAAGGATGTGTCTTTCAAGTCTGGTGAGCGAGTGAACTTATTAACAAAAGACCCTCCTCATAAATGTACAACAAAGGAACTTATTAGCAGTGGTGTGACCCAGCATCAGAAGCCCAAAGTGATAAAAAGAACAGAAACACAAAGACCAATGTTATCTCTTCCATAGAAGGCTTTTCTTTATAGCAAAATATTATGGTTGCACGATATTACAAGAACAAGGTTTCCATAGCACAAATGAAATTCTTCCTTCTTTGCTTTCACGCTGGGCTTCTTTCTCATGCAGATAAACAGCTTCGATCTCACAGAGCCTCTTTTCACACCGAAGTTATACATCAGCTTCACACAGTAGCTTTTTAGACATGCCCCAACGTTGGCAGTCTTTAGGAAGAGCTTGAAAACGTAGTTGTTCCAGTGTGCCTTCCCAGAATAAGGAGAACTCTCAGCAATATGCCCTCATAATGCACTTTAATACTGACTTAGGATGGATTGTGTTCCCTCCTTTCTCTCTGAAAAATCCTATCCCAGTTACATTTTACCTGTTCACGTCAGCATATTTTCAATTTTAATCTGTTACATTTGACCCGACCATTTTTAATATGTCATTATTGATTGTTATTTTTGTTATGTGATTTATATGATTTGTATTTTATTGTATATTCATGTTGTGTTATTGATTATTGTTTGATGTACTTTGGGCTTGGCTCATGTAAGCTGCACCAAGTCACTTGGGGAAATGGTAGCGGGGTACAAATAAAGTTTTTTTAATTATTATTATTATTATTATTATTATTATTATTATTATTATTATTTTACACACAGCAGCCATCACACTGGAGCGTCTCACACAGTGGCCTTTAACCTCGATCTTATCTCACATAGAAGCTTCTCACACCAGGCCTTCTCAAACTGGAGCTTACTTCACACTGATACCTACCTCACAATCAGGTTTACCTCACATTGAGGCCTCTCTCAGTTGGGCTGCAGGCACACCTACTTATACTGAACTGCAGCTTTTGCGGAGTCATTGCAACCACTTCACTTTTCAGTGCTTAACTCACATTTTTGTAATTAAAATACCTAGTTATTTTTTAAATATTTCTGACAAAGTCTCCTTCTCTTGGGATTTTTAAGAAGTGGCTGGATGGCCATCTGTTGGGAGGGCTTTGATGGTGTCTTCCCAATTAGCAGAGGGGAGTTGGATTGGATGGCCCTTGGGCCGTCTTCAAACTCTTGGATTCTAGATTTTCAGAGAAAAACTTTACTATATGGGGAGGTTTAGAGTCGGACTGTTCAGACTCTTTAGAGACTTGGATTTGGACCCACCTGCTCCTGATTTGTTCACCTTTAAGTCCTGATTCAGTTCCTATCTGTGGCTCAAACCCTTCCTGAGTTTGGTTTTCTTCCTGCTTTTCCATAAACTTTGGCATTTCCAAAGCCTTGGAGTCTCTTGCCCTCCTTTTCCAGATACCAGTGGAATTGCCCAATGAGGGGATCAATGCTTGTTAGAGCCTTTGGCTATTTCCAGCACGTGGTTAAGCAAGCAATGCACAAATGCCACAACTAAACTCCAGTGGAGGGGAAGCAAAGGAAGCGGTCCTATTGTGTGGGGCCAGCTGAGTCAGACCCATTGTGATATCCGGGAGTGTGTTTCCCCCAGTCCTACCTCTGCTGCATAGCAATGTGGTGACCGAGGGATGGACTTTGGCCTCATTTGAAAAGCAGTTCTGGTAACTGGAGTGTCATAGAGAATTCACAGGTATCATTTTTTCTTTCTTTCAACCTTGGCTGGCAAATTTGTGAACATCCTGCAACTCCTCCATGATGACATGATAACAACAATCTTGGACAGCAATGGCTTCCAGTGACCCATTTAAGGTGGAATCAGGTGTCAAACAGGGATGTGTTATTCCCCAACCTTATTTTCCATCTTCATTACTATGATACTTCATCTTGTTGACGGGAAGCTTCCCACCGGAGTGGAAATCATGTATCGGACAGGTGGCAAGCTATTTAACCTCAGCATACTGAAAGTCAAAACCAAGGTCACAACAACATCTGTTATAGAACTCCAGTATGCTAACTGTCTTTACTAATAATACAGGGTTAGTCAAAATGAATAGGCCAATAAGAAAATTAATTTTAGACGAATGTATGTTTACTGTAACCAAACCACAGCTACGTAGCGACAGATAAACTATCAAAGTTTTTTTTGAGCAACACACATGTACGTTAATGCCGCTAGGGGTCGCTGTTTTCAAAATGGCGGAATCAAGCAAAGAGAAGGCGTTTTGTGTGATGACATTTGCTAAAACAATGTCAGTAATTACGGTCCAGCGAGAATTTCAAGGGTTAGGGTTAGGGTTAGGGTTAGGACCTCAACGAACACCTTCCCAGACGTTGCTGCATTCGATGCCATTACGTCGGATGTGCTGCAACGGATGTGGAATGAACTGGACTATCGCTTGGACATCTGCCGTGTCACACGGGGCGCCCATATCGAACATCTCTGAAGGTGAGACAAAACTTTGATAGTTTATCTGTCGCTACGTAGCTGTAGTTTGGTTACAATAAACATACATTCGTCTAAAATTAATTTTCTTATTGGCCTATTCATTTTGACTAACCCTGTAATTATAGTATATTGTATATACATATAATATTTATAATATTATAATGTAATACAATATAATACTAGTAATAATAATTCAATATTATAATTATATATTTACATTACATGTAATATTACTAATAATATTACAATAAAATGGTATATTGCAATATAGTAATATATAATACTGATATTGTACTATGCTAATAACATAATGTAATATATATTGTATTGCTCTGAGCCCTTCGGGGTGAGAAGGGCGGCATATAAATGCCGTAAATAAATAAATAAATAAACTGGAGGTCAGCTGTGACCAGCAGTGCTGCGGAATTTGAAGAGGCACAAATGGAGGACAAAAGGTAGAAACGCGCCAAGAGGAAGATGTGACAAGCCAACCCTGACTGGGACTGCCTTCCACCTGGAAGGCAATGCCCTCACTGTAGAAGAACATGAGGATCAAGAATAGGACTCCACGGTCACCTATGGACCCACCACCAAGTCACTACATTTGGAAGGCCATCGTAGAATCATAGAGTTGGAAGAGACCTCATGGGCCATCCAGTCCAACCCCCTGCCAAGAAGCAGGAAAATTGTATTCAAAGCACCCCCGACAGATGGCCATCCAGCCTCTGTTTAAAAGCTTCCAAAGAAGGAGCCTCCACCACACTCCGGGGCTCCACTGCTGAACGGCTCTCACAGTCAGGAAGTTCTTCCTAATGTTCAGATGGAATCTCCTTTCTTGTAGTTTGAAGCCATTGTTCCATTGCGTCATAGTCTCCAGAGCAGCAGAAAACAATCTTGCTCCCTCCTCCCTAGAACTACCTCTCACATACTTATACATAGCTATTATGTCTCCTCTCAGCCTTCTCTTCTTCAGGCTAAACATGCCCAGCTCTTTAAGCCGCTCCCCATAGGGCTTGTCCTCCAGACCCTTGATGATTTTAGTATCCATTTAACCCTTTCAGTGCTTGATTCCCATTTTTGTGATTAAAAATACCTAATTTTTAATATTTCTTAACATCCTCTTTATCTTTAAGCCGCTCCCCATAGGGCTTGTTCTCCAGACCCTTGATCACTTTAGTCGCCCTCCTCTGGACACATTCCAGCTGATCAACATCTCCCTTCAATTGTGGTGCCCAGAATTGGACACAATATTCCAGGTGTGGTCTAACCAAGGCAGAATAGAGCATGGGGAGAATGACTTCCCTGGATCTAGACACTATGTTCCTATTGATGAAGGCCAAAATCCCATTGGCTTTTTTTGCCGCCGCATCACATTGTTGGCTCATGTTTAACTTGTTGTCCACAAGGACTCCAAGATCTTTTTCACACATACTGCTCTCGAGCCATGCGTCCCCAATTCTGTCTCTTGGCATTTAAATTTTTTTGCCTAAGTGGAGTATCTTGCATTTATCATACTCTGATAACGAAGGATTGCCTAAGTAAGTAAATAATAGATAAGCAAAGTAGCAGTCCTTGGGGTTCACTAGAAAGGAACCAATATGATAATGGGTTAGATTTTTTTTTCTAAACTCAACTGTAGGAGCATTTTCTGAGCCCTGCTTTGACCTTAAAGATCTTTCTAGGCCTCATCATTGCCATAAGTGAACAGGTGTTGGATGGAACCTGGTCGGAATAGCAGTCAGATATCAGGGGGAAAAATCCTCTTGTGGTTTTTTGCATAATACCGCATATACTCGAGTATAAACCGACCCGAATATAAGCCGAGGCACCTAATTTTACCACAAAAAACCTGGGAAAACGTATTGACTCAAGTATAAGCTGAGGGCGGGAAATACAGCAGCTACTGGTAAAACAAAATAGATACCAATAAAATTATGTTAATTGAGGCATCAGCAGGTTAAATGTTTTTTAATATTTACATAAAACTGTAATTTAAGATAAGACTGTCCAGTTCTGATCAAAACATTATTTTAACCTTCTTCAATGTAAATGTGCTTACATATCCTTCCAATAACAATAAAGTAAAATAATAAATGTAATACAAAATAATAATAACGGAATAAAATAATGGAAATGTAATAATAACAATAATAAATAGAGTAAAATAATAGTAAGTAAACTTTATTACGGTCAATGACCAGATCATAATGTAATAAAATAATAGAGTAAAATAATGTAAATGCAATAATACCAATAGTAATACATAGAGTAAAATAATAAATGTAATAATAATAGAGTAAAATAATACATGTAATAATAACAATAATAAATAGTGAAAAATAATAAATGTAATAAAATAATAGGGTAAAATAATGTAAATGTAATAATAGAGTAAGATAATAAAGGTAATAAAAACAATACTAATAACAGAGTAAAATAATAAATAACCTTGACTCGAGTATAAGCCGAGGGGGGCTTTTTCAGCCTAAAAAAGGGGCTGAAAAACTAGTATATACAGTAGTTCTTATGGCTGTTGAAGAGGGAACGAAACAACCAAATATGTCTTCTGCCTGAATGTTATCAGAATAATTCTACTCTGATGGTTGTCGTAACAAAGAATGTCTGCTTCTTCCAACAGAACTTGGTTCTAACCTCGATCTCTTTCTCTCCTCCTTTGTGATTGTTTAGTTCAGGATCCAGCACCCCCTGGTCCAACTGCTGGCCCTGCAGCCCTCCATCCACACACCCACCACGGCGGAGTCGGTCAAGCCCACCCTCTGCAGAGTTGTCATCTACTTGCAGAAGGAGATGTCCGGGGACACTTGCCTGACCGCCCTCTGCCCTGCGTCGGGGTCCAAGCCCAAGGGTGCCGGCCTTGGCAGCTTCCGAGCAGGCGCCTTGGGCAACAAGTATGTGCGACTCAATGTGGGAGGCTGCCTCTACTACACCACGGTGCAAGTCCTGACGCGGCATGACACCATGCTGAAGGCCATGTTCAGCGGCAGGATGGAGGTCCTCTCGGACAAGGACGGTAGGTCCCGGGGTTGATGCCCAGTGTGATTAGGCAAGCCCCACCTTAGCAGCCTTCAAGAAGGATCTCAAAACCTGGCTCTTCCTTGTGCTTTTGGAGAGTGATCAGATAATTCCTTTAGTTGCTCCTCCCATAATGTTTGCCCCCATATTGCAACTCCCCCCCCCTCGCGTGTTTGAAGGTCTATCTCCACTACTCTGTCACCTATGAGCTTATTTATTTATTTATTTATTTATTTCTTGCACTTATTGACCGCCACTCTCAGCCCTAGGGGCGACTCGTGGCGGTGAACAACAACAAAGAAAGACAGGATACAAAATCATAACAGTACATAACAAACTACTACTACAACATATACTTATGCTAAAAATCCGCTTCGTCTAATCCTGGGGTCATAGCCAAGTTCGTAGTCATAATCCATTCTAGAGTCGTCACACCGATATACTTAGTTGAAGGCCTGCTCGCAGAGCCAAGTTTTCAGACTCCTGCGAAAGGCCATCAAAGAGGGCGCCTGTCTAACTTCAGTAGGGAGGGTGTTCCACAACCGGGGGGCCACCACCGAGAAGGCCCTCTCTCTCGTCCCCGCCAGACGTGCCTGCGAGGCAGGCGGGACCGAGAGAAGAGCCTCCCCGGATGATCTCAAAGCCCTCGTGGGCTCGTAGGCCGAGATGCGGTCTGCAAGGTTTTGGGCCGGAACTGTTTAGGGCTTTGTAGGATAACACCAGCACCTTAAATTGGGCCCGGTAGCAAATCGGCAGCCAGTGGAGCGGGGACAGCAGGGGCGTTGTATGCTCTCTGCGCCCTGCTCCTGTTAACAACATGGCTGCCGCGCGTTGGACTAGCTGAAGCTTCCGGGCCGTCTTCAAGGGCAGCCCCACGTAGAGAGCGTTGCTCCCATACAAATATTTTTCTTTCATCCCTATCTCATCCTGAATTTTATCATTTTATCTCACACGTGGCCCATCCTTTGGGTTTGATTCTGCATTGTATTATTTTGTATTATTTTATTGCATTCTTATGTTTTTATGTATTTAATTGTGATGTTTATTTTGTTGTTTTGGTTTTATTTTGTTGTAATGTACTGTTGGGCTTGGCCTCTTGTAAGCCGCCCCGAGTCCCCTTTGGGGAGATGGCGGCGGGGTATAAATAAAGATGATGATAATTATCAGAGGTAGTGAGGATGCTTGTCATAGATGCAGGCGAAACGTCAGGAGAGAATGCCTCTAGAACATGGCCATATAGCCTGAAAAAACCTACAACAACCCAGTGATTCCGGCCATGAAAGCCTTCGACAATACATAATAATAATAATAATTATCTATATATATATATATAAATGCTCATGTCGTAATGAGTGGCTTAAAAACAAAAGAACCGCTGGGCCAATACCCACCAAATTTGGCAACAAAACTCCTCACCATACAAGTTGTGACCATCAATAATAAAAAACAAAAAAAAGAACTTACAAATCCTAAAAAAGGAGAAGATACCACTGGGCATGCATACTGGGACGGGGGGTGGGTGGTGTGCGCGTGCGCTCGCACACACAGGAGAGCTCCACATGGCGGAGCCTGTGCCGGCAACAGCCTGGAGTCAACCTTGGCTCTCTCCCTCCTCCTTCTCTCCCTTCCTTCTCTCTTCCCCAATTTTCTCCCTTCATGCCTTCCCTGTCTCGTCTCCTCCCTCCCTCTTTCCCTCATCCTTCCCCTCTTTCCTTCTCTCTTTCCTCTTTCCTTTCCTCCCTCCCTTCTATCATTCCTCCTTCCCTTCTTCCTCCGTCTTCAGCTTTCCCCTTGGGTGCTACCATCAAGGGGCTCCAGTAAGCCCCGCCCCTAATAGAGCAGAGTGTGCTGGGGACGAAGGAAGGAAGGATTTAATAAAGAAGGATGAAGCTGGTGAGGAGGGTGGGGGAGAAAAGGGAAGGAAAGAAAATTATTATTATTATTATTGATGGTCACACCTTGTATGGGGAGGAGTTTTGTTGCCAAATTTGGTGGGTATTGGCCCAGTGGTTCTTTTGTTTTTAAGGCACTCATTATGACATGAGCATTTATATATATATAGATTTATTTGCGGCATTTATATGCCTCCCTTCTCACCCCGAAGGGGATTCAGAGCGGCTTACAATATATATATTTTCACACAATATATTATATTATTAGCATAGTAAAATATCAGTATTATATATTACTATATTGCACTATACCATTAGATTGTAATATTATTAGTATTATTAGAGCGGCTTACAATATATGTTTTCATACAATATATTATATTATTAGCATAGTACAGTATCAGTATTATAAATTACTATATTGCACTATGCCATTAGATTGTCATTTTATTAGTAATATTACATGTAATGTAAATATATAATTATAATATTGTATTATTATTGCTAGTATTATATTGTATTACATTATAATATTATATTGTCTTACATTATAACATTACAACAAAATAAAACCAAAATAACAAAATAAACATCACAATTAAATAAATAAAAACATAAGAATGCAATTCTTCTATTAAAACTGAGAGATTGTTGTAGTTGCGGCATACTTCAGAAAACTACAGATCCCAGGCTCCCCATATCACCAGTGCTTCTCGGAATTGTAGTCCCTCCCTCGGATTCTGGGAATTTTAGCCCACCCATCTGCAAGGATCTCTGGGGAAACCCATACAAGATGATCTGCTTGGTTACATCTGAGACACCAATGCTGTGCCAACATCTCGTTCTATTTCCAGGATGGATTCTCATCGACCGCTGCGGGAAACACTTTGGCTCTATCTTGAACTATCTCCGAGACAACACAGTTGCCCTACCGAAGAACCGGCAGGAGATCAAAGAGCTGATGGCGGAAGCCAAGTACTACCTCATCCAGGGGCTGGTTGACCTCTGTCAGGCGGCCCTGCAGGTAAGTATCTGTTGGTCATCTGCTGCAATGCTCCTCACTTTTTGGTCCCAGCTAAGCATTGGCTAGCAAATAACCCTTTGTGGGTGGGTTTCCTTTTTCACAGGACAAGAAGGAGTCGTACAAGCCCGTCTGCAACATCCCCGTCATCACATCCCCCAAAGAAGAAGAGAGGCTTATAGAATCGGCCATGAAGGTGAAGCCACTTTCCCATATTTGGAAAGCCAAGTCTTATTTACCCTTCCAAAACAAATAGTGGGGAAGATGTTTGCAAATGAAAAATAGTGCTGTGTCTTTCAAGTCCAGTGGGTGAGTGGGCTTATTAACAAAAGACCCTTCTCATAAATGTAATAATAATAATAAAAAAACTTTATTTATACCCCGCTACCATCTCTCCAAGAGACGCGGTGCGGCTTACATAAGGCCAAACCCACAGTACATCAATAACAAAAGCAATAACGAAAACAATCAATACAATACAATTAATATAAATCACATAAACAATTAACAGTAACACACAAGCATTTAAAAACCTATGGCTGGGCCAAATGTAATAGGTTAATTAAAAAAAATAAAACTGGGCATGAACGAGGTAGGATATAACTGGTATAGGGTTTTCAAAGAGAAATGAGGGAACTCAGTCAAATCAGTGGTAAAGTGCATTTTGAGGACATACTGCTGAGAGTTTTCCTTATTCTGGGAGGGCACACTAGAACAACCACGTTTTCAGGCTCCTCCTAAAGACTGCCAGCGTTGGGGCATGTCTGATGTCCTTGGGAAGTGAGTTCCAGAGTCAGGGGGGCCACCACCGAGAAGGCCCTCTCCCTCGTCCCCACCAATCGCACCTGCAAAGGAGGTGGGAGCACGAGCAGGGCCTCTCCAGATGATCGAAGTGATCGTGTGGGTTCGTACACAGAAATGCGGTCACGCAGGTAGGCGGGTCCCAAACTGTTCAGGGCTCATAAATGTACAGCAAAGTAACTTATTAGCAGTGGTGTGACCCGGCACCAGTAGCCCAAAGTGATAAAAAGAACAGAAACACACAGACCAATGTTATCTCTTCCATAGAATAATATGGTTACACAATGTTACAAGAACAAGGTTTCCAAATGAAATTATTCCTTCTTTGCTTCCACGCTGGGCTTCTTTCTCATGCAGATAGCTTTGATCTCACAGAGCCTCTTTTCACACTGAAGTTATACAGAAGCTTCACACAGTAGCTTTTTACACACAGCAGCCATCACATTGTAGCTTCTCACACAATGGCCTTTAACCTGGATCTTCTCTCACAGAAAAGCTTCTCACACTAGGCTTCCTCAAACTGGGGCTTACCTCACACTGAGGCCTACCTCACAGTGAGGTTTACTTCACACTGAGGCCTACCTCACACTGAGACCTCTCTCAGTTGGGCTGCAGGCACACCTACTTATATTGAACTGCAGCTTTTGCAGAGTCATTACAACCACTTCACCCTTTCAGTGCTTAACTCACATTTTTGTAATTAAAATACCTAGTTATTTTTTAAAAATATTTCTGACAAAGTCTCCTTCTTTTGAGATTTTTAAGAAGTGGCTGGATGGCCATCTGTCGGGAGGGCTTTGATGGTGTCTTCCCACATGGCAGAGGGGAGTTGGATTGGATGGCCCTTGGGCTGTCTTCATACTCTAGGAGTCTAGATTTTAAAAATAATTTAAGTGTGTCTGCATAGTGGCAATGGAAGAGTGGAGCTCAGTAACACAAGAGCACACTCTTACGTTAGACCAGTGGTTCCCAGTCTATGGTCCGTGAACCACCAGTGGTCCACAAGAACAAAAATATTGTCCGTGGCCTCACCATTACTACACAGTTGCCTCGAAACCACGCAGCAACGAGAGCGACTGGTCTGAAAGGGAAGGGCTGAGTATTCACGAAAGATTATTATGACCACATCAAGATTATTAAATATGGTTTTCTGTGGGTGAGGAGATGGTGACAACTGGATGGTATATGTTCTGTATCAGAAACTAGAGCTGATGTGGTCTAGCCAATGCACTTTTCCGAATCCGCACCCCAAATAACCAACCAAATCTAAAGTTAGCCAAAAGCTTCGTACTAATGTTGGAGAGTAGTCCCTGGTCAAAGTGGTTGGTCCCTGATCAAAAAAAGGTTGGGAACCACTGTTTTAGACTCTTAACTCTCAGAATTTCCCAGTCCAGAAGCTTAGAGATTTGATGCCCTGTGCTTCTCTTCCCTTGAAGTAACATGCTCCCTTTTCTTCCTTCTTCCCAGCCGGTTGTGAAGCTGCTTTATAACAGGAGTAACAACAAATACTCATACACAAGGTAAGCTCTTTGCTGTCTGTTTTGAGGTTAAAAATACAAGAAAAAACCCACTATATCATCCCAAAAGGACTGTCTTAGTCCAGCACTCTGTCCCATTGTGTTTCTGGGAAGCCCATGAGCAGGATTGGAGGCCAATGCCATCTTCCAGTTGCTGATCAATTCCTTTGTTTGCTGTGTGTCATAGAGAGGAAAGGATTAACAGAGAGGCAGTGGGCAGGGTCATGCAAATTCCACACCATTGGAAAGAGTAAGAAACACTGGGATGCCTGTGGTGGAGGAAACACAGAAAATCTAGGATGAAATGGTCCCCGTATGAAAGCCTTCACTTGGGCAGTGGGCAGTATGGTGTTTGTGGAGGACATTGGCAGGGCTCTTGGACATGTTTACGCCACTCACTTTAACCTGCAATGTCATTGGAGGGAGGGCCATTGGTGTCTCCTGGGTAGTGGGAGCTATAGCTGTTTGTGGAGGCAGGAGCTTGTCTGTGTAAATGGACACCCCAGCCACACACATACATACATATTTTCCCTTTTATTGTGTGTATAGATATTGTGTAGAAAGTTACCTTCAGACTCTCTCTCTCTCTCTCTCTCTGTGTATGTGTGTGTATGTATGTGTGTGTATATATATATATATATATGCCATCCCCTGCCACGCGTTGCTGTGGCCCAGTCTGGTGGTCTGGAAAATAATGAGAAAGTATTGGTTTCTAATATATGTAATTTCTTTATGTTTGTGGGTAAACAGTATTTCTTGCTGTTTCTTTGTCAGTGTTGATGTGGAGATTGCCTGGTTTGCCTGCTCTGGAACATGCAACATATCATTGTCCTTCTTTAGGGGTCCCTTTCAAATCTACGATACTATCTCTCTGTGTGTGTGTGTGAATCATATCTATCTATATCTATGGCTGGATGGCTCTTTGTCAGGAGGGTTTTGATTACATTTTCGTGTCCTGGTGAAGGGATTTGGACCAGATGGCCTGTTGGTCATGGGGGTTTTGTGTGGGAAGTTCTGTCATTGGTGGGGTTCAGAATGCTCTTTGAATGGAGAACTATAAATCCCAGTAACCACAACTCCCAAATGTCAAGGTCTATTTCCCCCAAACTCCCATCTGTGTTCATATTTGGGCATATGGAATATTTATGCCAAGTTTGGTCCAGATCCATAATTGTTTGAGTCCACAGTGTTCTCTGGATGTAGGTGAACTACAACTCCCAAACTCAAGGTCAATACCCACCAAACCCTTCCAGTATTTTCTGGTGGTCATGAGAGTTCTGTGTGCCACATTTGGTTCAATTTTATCATTGGTGGAGTTCAGAATGCTCTTTGATTGTAGGTGAACTATAAATCCCAGCAACTACAACTCCCAAATGACAAAAGCATAATTTTTTGAGTGATGGTCACTCCTTGTGTTATGAGACGTTTTGTTGCCAAATTTGGTGTGATTTCGTTAATCGGTTCTTTTGTTTTTAAGGTACTCATTATGCACAGAGCATTTTTATATATATAGATGTTTTATGGATTTTATTGTTTATGGAATTTTATGGATGTTATATGCTTTTAACTGTTTATATTATTGTGGCATCGAATTGTGCTGTTTTGTAAACCGCCCTGAGTTGCCCTCGGGCTGAGAAGGGCAGTATAGAAATATAGTAAATAAATAAAAATAATAAATACTCTTGTGATCTACATACAAAAAATTACAATAGCCAAAGCGGACACTAGATTTGACGTCGGCCTCCCTCCCTCTTGGTTTCAGCAACTCCGATGACAACTTATTGAAGAACATTGAGCTGTTTGATAAGCTCTCCCTCCGCTTCAACGGGAGGGTCCTCTTCATCAAGGACGTGATTGGGGACGAGATCTGCTGCTGGTCCTTCTATGGCCAGGGCCGCAAGCTGGCCGAAGTCTGCTGCACCTCCATCGTTTATGCTACGGAAAAGAAGCAGACCAAGGTAGGAGGACTTTGGCTTTCACATTCGATGCAGACATTCCTTTACGCATGGCTTGCTTCTTACAGTCCAGTGTCAGCACTCGGGGTTGATGATTTTCAAGGGGAAGGCAAAGTAGTTAATAGTTGTTGACAACAAAAGGAGCAGGAGCACTTGTTGTGAAAGAGGCAGTCACAGGACTACTGTCTACTCGTGTATAACTATGGGAATTTTAGTCAGGAAATGATTGCCCAAAATCAGGGTCAGCCTCTCTATGGGACACTTTAAGTACTGCTGGGTGAGTGGGTTTATTAACAAAAGACCCTCCTCATGAATGTATAGCAGAGTAACTTATTAGCAGAAATATCACCCAACATCAGTAGTCCCAAGTGATAAAAAGAAAAAAAATCACAATGTTATCTCTTCCTTAGGAGGCTTTTCTTTATAGCAAAATAATATGTTTGCACTGTTTACAAGAACAAGGTTTCCATAACACTAACAAAGTTCTTTATACTTCCTTCTTTGCTTCCACGCTGGGCTTCTTTCTCATGCAGATAAACAGCTTCGCTCTCAGAGCTTCCTCTCACAGTATTTATTTGTTTATCGTGTCAGGAGCAGACCAAACAATTGTATTGCATTTTTTAACAAACAAAACACAAAGTTTGCAAGCTTGGTAGTTGATTAAATGTCCTTTGACCAGTAGCTGGCCTCTGGTGTTGCTGCAAGAGTGCCTCTGGTGTTGCTGCAAGAAGGTCCTCCATTGTGCATGTAGCAGGGCTCAGGTTGCATTGCAGCAGGTGGTCAGTGTGAAGACACACAGCAGTCTTCACACTGAAGTTTCACATACAATGGCCTTTAACCAGGGGCTTCTCTTGCCGAAGCTTCTCACACCAGATCTTCTCATACTGAGGCCTACTAACACTGAGGCCTTTCTCCCACTGAGGCCTTTCATACTGAGGCCTACTAACACACTGAGGGCCTTCTTCCACAGAGACCTCTCACAGACTGAGGCTACGAAGCTACAGACACATCTTCTTATCAGCAGCAGCGTGACCCAACACCCGTAACCTAAAGTGATAAAAAGAAACAAAAACACACAGACCAATGTTATATTTTTCTTAGGAGGCTTTTCTTTGTAGCAAAATAATTGATATGGTTGCACTATTTTACAAGAACAAGGTTTCCATAACACAAATAAAGTTCTTTATACTTCCTTCTTTGCTTCGATGCTGGGTTTCTTTCTCATGCAGATAAACAGCTTCACTCTCACAGATCTTCCTCTCACATCGAATTTATGCAGGAGGTTCATACAGTAGCATTACACACATAGAATTATAGAGTTGGAAGAGACCTCATGGGCCATCCAGTCCAACCCCATTCTGCCAAGAAGCAGGAAAATTGCATTCAGAGCGCAGCAGCCTTCACACTGAAGCTTCACATATGACAGCCTTCAACCTGGGGCTTCTCTCACCAAAGCTTCTCACACCAGACATTCTCAAACTGAGACCTACTGAGGCCTTTCTCCCACTGAGGCCTTCCCACACTGAGGGCTCTCTCAGACTGAGGCCTTTCTCCCACTGAGGCAAACTGAGGCCTTTCATACTGAGGCCTACTAACACACTGAGGCCCTTCTCCCACAGAGACCTCTCACAGACTAGGCTACAGGCACACCTGCTTGTTTATAGGGCCAGCTAACACTTCCCAACAAAGGATTCCCCCAGGCAGCAATCAGCCAGGCTTTGAAGCTCTGCAAGGTCATTAAATGCTAATCAAGGTGCAACATTCACTTGGCTCAAGCAGACAAGAGTTTTTTCTCCCACCCAGAACATTTCACAGGTGTACAAACCTCACTTGCCTAGTTTCCAACAGACCTTGCAACAAATTTTGGAGAACTATCTCTCCTTCATCAGACTAGTTAAGTTTGTCCATGTCAACAGATTCTCTGGTGTTTATTCGTCATCGTCATCATTCTTTGTCTTCCATTTTCTTTGCTTTTCTCTTTCCCTCTGCATGCCAGTCTTGTTTGCCAATCTCTTCCCAACAAAGTTCCTAATGCGTATTCCCTGAATCTCTTCTCTCTTCCGCCTCTCAGGTGGAATTCCCCGAGGCCCGCATCTATGAGGAAACGCTCAACGTGTTGCTTTATGAGACCCCTCGGGTCCCCGATAACTCCCTTTTGGAAGCCACAAGCCGGGCCCGGAGCCAGGCATCCCGGAGTGAGGACGAGGATGGCAGCTTTGAGCTGCGGGACCGGGTGCGGCGCATCCACGTCAAGCGATACAGCACTTACGACGACCGCCAGATGGGCCACTAAGTGACTTATAGGGCCCTTGTTTCTATGTTTATTATTTCCCCAGGCTTTCAAGCCTCGACCTCTTGTTTCTGCTGCCCATCGAGTGAGTGGGGCCTGTGCCATTCCTGCGTTGGCTGGAGGTTGACTTAGATTTTGTTTCCAAAGGCCTGTCGCACACAATGCCAACCGTTTGTAATCTCTTTATTCATTTGAGGCCCTTTTTATTTTGTTTAAAGGGAGCTTATGCCTCCTTCTTCTATTTAGAGAAAGCGAACATGATTTTTCGTTCAGGCATTTGCAGAAGGAACTTTCTCAGGCTCTGTTTGGAGAATTATGGTATCTCCTTGGTTTTCCTTTTTTTTCAAGGAGGACGAATGTATATCAAACACTACAGTTTGACAGCTGCGTGTCTTCTTTCAGTACCCAAACACTCCTTCTTTTCCTCAAATGGACAGGAAACTGACTAACGCTGGGAGAAGTTGAAAAGACATTGGTGTCTTGATGCCTGAAAACTGGAATGCAAACCGAGGATTGGCTCTGAGATTCTGAGATTCGTCCCTGGAGGCAAATTGGAGTTGAAATACCCTGGATCCTTCCACCCAATTAGTTGTGGAGTTGACGGTTTGATTGCGGACAAAACGTTTTGCTCTTTTCACTACATTTGCTGGATCCTCTGAGGGCTGTGAACAGGTTGAGCCTGGAATATACTGGAATCACCCAGAATCCTATACAGTAGGGTCTCCCTTATCCGACCTTTGTTTATCCGTCATTCTGTCTTATCTGATGCTCTTATCCGATATTCTTCTTTTCCTCAAGCATTTCCCCTTCAATTAAAGGATCGCTCCCCAACTCTCTCTCCATTCCCAATGAGTGAAAAAGGCTAGACAAGGAGGAGAAGAGGGAGGAAACGGGGAAAAGAGGCAGGACCGGAAGCAGAAGTATCCTCCCTCCTTCCCTCTGAGATTTCCACACTCCTCTTCCGCATCGGGCACTTCCTGTTGGGTCTGTCTAACCCCGAGGTGTTACCTTGCCTTAACCCTTTGAGTTCCTGTTGTCACGCCAGCGTTGTTGTCTCCCTTGGCCTGCGAGGAGGAGGAGGAGAGGAAGACAACATGCGTGCAAACGCGCACTTGTGAGGGAAGGAGGGAGGGAGAGCGAGCTGCCTCTCGGTGTTGTCTGAGGCAGGGGCACCTCAAGAGCTCCTCAAGAGCAACCCCCCCCCCGAGATGTGCGCTCTATGCAGATGCGTAATTAGCGTACTTCCTTGAGCCGCCTCTGGTTGTTAGTACTCTAGATGTCTAGCGCCACGTCGAACGGGTAACAGTAGGAGACTCCGTATTATCTGACATTTTCATTTCGCTAGCCCATTTTTGCCGGATAAATGAGACTCTACTATATTTCTGATCATATTTTCTATTACCCTGTGCTTGGAACGTGGTGAATCTCATCCCTTCGGACCGGGTCTCTGTCGTGACGTTTGCCCCACGCATTTCTCTATAGTGAGAGCAGAGGAACACTTGAACGGCTCTCAGCTGGAAAGGAGGTTGGGAGGTTTATGTGGGTCACGTTGGACGTGTTTGAGGTTCCTGGGTTGGTTGTGGAGCTCAGTGTCCATCTCTGGCTTCTCACCACATTAAAGACAGTTTTGGTGGGATTCCCTATCATCTTCTGTCTGGGGAATTTCAGGACGTTGTTGCATTTTTTTAGGTTTTTCAAAGTGTTTACTTTCTGTGGCCCCCAAATATGGCAACTTTATATCACAAGACATCTTTATTTATGGGCTTCGCTGAGAGTAAGGAACCTTTGGAAAAATTGTAATCGTTGTTGGAAAATGGACCTGGAATGGAATGGGTGCCACTTGTTGATGATCTTTTAGGAAAGGCGGCTTAAAAATGGAAATTTTAATTTTTTTTTCTCCCGGTACAAGGTTGATTTTGTACACCCGGTGATATAGAAGTGCCAAAAAGTGGAGCGATCTGAGTTCCACCATAAATGGTCCCTTCGTGGACCTCCATAGATGGTCTGTCTGGTCTGTAGCCTTGTCGATCGTAGACCATGGCCTACCAGGGGCAACCACTGCTCCCCAACATGTTGCCCTTTACATGTGTAGGATGATGGACTTGTAGTCCTACCTAAAGGGAACCAGGAGAGAGAAGACTGACCCCCAAATGGCTGGATGAGAGGAAAGGCGGCTGTTTGGTGTCCATTCCAGATGGACACCAAACAGTCAACGGAGGACCATAAGAAGACCATCTATGGTGGAGCTCAGCTATCTCCTTCTAATACCAATTTGATCCTTTACTTTTTGTATTTACATGATTGAGAAGAAACCTATGGCATTCCACAGACTGAGAGGAATGTCCTGCCTTTACAGCCAGCCTCTTCTTCCATCTCCATGCACTGAGTTCTGTACTTTCAATCAGGCCGGATGTGACTTCTGGATGTACCTGGTGTTAAATGAATAAAATAACACTCTGTAACAAGCAGCATAAGTTATTTTAATCGGTAGTCACCATAACCATTATTCAAAGAATTGCAGAAGGTGCAAGAAGTCAGAAAAATCCAATTCCCTGGAAGTTCTCCTTGGACTTTGTGGTCAGTTCCCATGACAGGTGAGTCCACCAGACCTATGTGAACTAGAAACTTGAGCTTCAGATTAAAATGAAACCCCCAACACTCAAGATTTGGGAATTGATTGTATGTGCTTTTTGATGTGAAGCATCTTTGTGGCTCTTCTGTATGTTCTCATTGGCAAAGATCCCAAACTAACTTGGTCCCTGGCGTTACCCAGGTTATTTGAAAAAGTCTGTTTTTTAATTGTACAAAATGCATAAGGTTATGTAATGAACTACAACTCCCATCATGCCAGGTTAACCACGAGAACTTCCATCAGTTCTTGAAGTTTGGTATGTTGGGCATGCTTGCACTGTATGCATCATTGGTGGGATTCAGTGTGCTCTCTGAATGTAGTGTAAACTACAACTCCCACTATGGTGAGTCAGCCCCCTCAAATCTCTCTTGTAGGTTGAGTTAGTCATTCTAGGGGGTTCTGTGTGCCAAGTTTGGTCCAGGTCCATCATCGGTGGTGTTCACAGTTTCTCTGGTTGTGAGTGAACTACAACTCCCAGAAAGGAAGCGCAGCCCCCCCCCCCCCAAAACCCTTCCAGTAATCACATTTTGGCTTATAGAATCATAGAGTTGGAAGAGACCTCATGGGCCAATGCCCTCACTGTGGAAGAACATGAGGATCAAGTCTAGGATTCCACAGTCACCTATGGACCCACCACAAAGTCACTACATTTAGAAGGTCATCATAGAGTTGGAAGAGACCTCATGGGCCATCCAGTCCAACCCCATTCTGCCAAGAAGCAGGAAAATTGTATTCAGAGCACCCCCGACAGATGGCCAGCCAGCTTCTGTTTTAAAAGCTTCCAAAGAAGGAGCCTCCACCACACTCGGGGGCAAAGAGTTCCACTGCTGAACAGCTCTCACAGTCAGGAAGTTCTTCCTGATGTTCAGATGGAATCTCCTTTCTAGTAGTTTGAAGCCATTGTTCTGAGTCCTAGTCTCCAGGGCAGAGGAAAACAAGCTTGCTCCCTTCTCCCTATGACTTCCTCTCACATATTTATTATTATTATTATTATTATTAAACTTTATTTATACCCTGCTACCATCTCCCCAAGGGACTCTGTGTGGCTTACATGAGGCCGAGCCCACAATACATCAATACAAGCAATAACAACAACAGTAAAACAAATTAAATAAAACTCGTGACCAAAACAGCAATATACAAAGGCAATAATACAACACACAATTAAAATCTATGGCTGGGCCAAATGCAATTAAAGTTAAAAATAATGCTAGGCATGAATAAGGTAGGAGGGATGGGGTGTTAGTGGGAGCGTACCAACAATCCTAAATAAATGTAAAGTGCATTTGGAGGGCACAATGCTGAGAATTCATTATTCTGGTAAGGCACACTGGAACAACCACATTTTCAGGCTCCTCCTAAAGACTGGCAGAATTGGGGCATGCTTGATGTCCTTGGGAAGTGAATTCCAGAGTCGAGGGGCCACCACTGAGAAGGCCTTGTCCCCATCAGTTGCGCCTGCGATGGAGGTGGGAGCGCAAGGAGGGCCTCTCCTGATGAATGAAGATATCACGTGGGTTTGTAGACATGACTATCATGTCTCCTCATGAGACATGGCTATCCTGTCTCCTCTCAGCCTTCTCTTCTTCAGGCTAAACATGCCCAGCTCTTTAAGCCGCTCCTCATAGGGCTTGTTCTCCAGACCCTTGATCATTTGAGTCTCCCTCCTCTGGACTAAGTTGAGTTAGTCATGGAGGTTCTGTGTGCCTTTGGTACAGGTCCATCACTGATGGTGGTCATAGTTTCTGTGGTTGTGAGTGAACTACTACTCCCAGAAAGGAAGTGCAGTTCCCCCCAAACTTCTCCAGTAATCACATTTCGGCCTATTGGGTATGTGTTCCAAGTTTGGTCCAGATCCATGGGAGTTTGGGTTCAGAGTGCTCTCTGGATGTAGGTGAACTACAACTCCCCCAAATCAAGGTGAATTTATAATAATAATAATAAAACTTTATTTGTACCCTGCTACCATCTCCCCAAAGGACTTGGTGCGGCTTACATGAGGCCAAGCCCAGAGTACATCAATAAACAAAACAATAACAAAACAATCAAAGCAATACAATTAATATAAACCACATAACAAAAATAAACAATAAATCAACAGTAACACGCAAGCATTTAAAACCAATGGCCGGGCCAAATGTAATAGACTAAAATTAAAAATAATGCTGGACATGAACAAGGTAGCATATAACTGGGATAGAATTTTCAAGGAAAGATGAATTTCCCCATTTGGACTGGATGGCTGTCTGTCAGGAGGGCTTTGATTGTGCCTTCCTGCTTGGTTGGACTGGATAACCCTTGGGGGTTATTTCTAGGATAATATTTCCTCTATTTTTGGCTTGTATAAAACTCCCACGGGTTCCTCGTTCGTCATTTTGTGTGCATTGTTTCCTTTCTTTTGTCATCGTCGTTGAAGGAGAACGCCAGCATCGAGGTTTGAAACTGATTCATAGGAACCGAGAGTGCCTTTCGTACTCATTGTTAGATGAGAGGAAGGATGAGACTCTCTTACGTAATGGGTTTTCTCTCATTAATAAGATCTTTGATGGAAGCGGCGTTTTATTCGGAAGGCTACTTTTAGAGCGTTCTGTTCCAAGAAGCTTAACACTGATAACACGCTTTTTGTTCCTGGGTTATAAATGGCATTTCTTAATTGGTTCTATCAGGGAAAACATGGAAAACGTTTAATAAGCAGCAAACGGACACAGGCCAACCATTACTCCGCTACAAATCAACCCCTAAATTCGACTTGCCATATCACTATACGGATTACGTAACAGCCATCGGATGTTGTGGACATGAATGTCTCCACCGCAGAACCGCAAATGTCAGGGTGAAGGTTAAGTGTTCAGATTTGGACTTGACATTTATCCAGCTGCAGATCGAGATCCTTCAAGGCTATGGTATTTTTTCCTAGAAAAAGAAAAGTCTAGACGGAACAAAAGTCTTGGAATGGTTTGAATCTGGAATTGGCACAGTGTGGACTTTGAACTGGTACAACAGGCGGCAGCCAGGCTCCTTACTGGAGCAAACTATAGAGAGCCTACAACACACCTATTAAAACAGCTTCATTGGCTGCCAATAAGTTGCCGAGCCAAATTCAAGGTGCAGGTCATTACCTATAAAACCCTAAACCAGCGGTTCTCAATCTGGGGGTTGCGACCCCCAGGGGGGTCACTTTGCCATTTCGGAGGGGTCGTGATGCTGCCTCCGTTGGTCCTGCCCCAAAGCCGCGGGCCAGGCGAGGAGCCCTCCGCGCAAGGCCTGGCCTTGTGCAAAGCCCGCCTCGCCTCCCTTGCTCTCTCGCCATTGGCGAGGGCTCCTCCGCACAAGGCCTGGCCTCGCGCAAAGCCTGCCTCAGGTTGAGAACCACTGGTTTAGGGTATTATAGGTCAAAGCCTGCCTTGCCTGCAGGAGTTCTGTGTGGAGGTCTCAGTGGTCTGTGGAAGTCAGTGCTGAATCGGTTGAAGGTACTGCAAATCCATATTTTTTTCTGATTAATCATGATGCTTTAATTATGTTGAATTTGTAACAATTAAAACACATCCTTCATATCAGATATTTACATTATGATTTGTAGCAGTAGCAAAATTGCAGTTATAAAGGAGCAACGAGAATAATTTTATGGTTGGGGGGGTCACCACAACATGAGGAACCATATTTAGGGGTGTTAGAAAGGTTGAGAATCACTGCCCTAAACGGTTTAGGCCCTACCTATCTCCGTGATCGCATCTCCTTCTATGAACCAGCACGAGCTCGAAGATCTTCCGGGGAGGCCCTCCCCTCGGTCCCACTACTGTCTCAAGTGCGGTTGGTGGGGACGAGAGAGAGGGCCTTCTCAGTGGTGGCCCCCTGCCTCTGGAACGCCCTTCCAAGGGAAATAAGACAGGCCCCATCCCTCCCCTCCTTTCATAAGAGCTTGAAGACCTGGTGGTTTCAACAAGCCTTTGAAAATGTTCTAACTCAGCCCTACACATTGTCGAATACAGCCTTATTCTTCCCTTATCATTTCCTCTAATCGGCCCCGGAATGAACAGCCACAGACCCGTACCTAATATTATCGTTGCCTGCCATAGCATTGCACTTAATTCCCCCCCTTCCCCTAGAATTTTTGGGCTTGCACAAATCTTGGCCCAGCCTTTTTGCATTTTTAAATTGCCTTGAACGGGCAGCATTCTTTTAATATATGTGTGTTATGGCGACAATTTTTATGCTTATATTTTGTTTTGTTAATCTTATGTTGTTTTTTACTTTGTATGTTTTGTGATGGTACCTGGGAACCGCACTGAGTCCCCTCGGAGAGATGGAGCGGTATATAAATAAACTTTTATTATTTATTATAAGGACTGCATATACACTGTTTGACACTACTTTAACTGCCATGGCACAATGCTATGGTGTCTTGGAAGTTGTAGTTTTACAAGATCTTTGAGCCTTCTCTACCAAAGCACCACTCTCATAATTCCTTAGCCCTGAGAGAGGGCAGTTCATGTGGGATCAAACCTGACGGTGTGCCTACAAAGTAACTTTTCCAAACCACGATTCAAGGTGCATTTCCCTTCCAAGCCAGCAGATGGGGCTGCTTGTCCTGCGTTAGAAAAATATTCAATGAGTACCGTAGATAGAAAAATCAAATATAATTTTTAAGGGTTTTTAAGGCAGCGGATCACTAAGGGTTTACAAAAAGATCTCCAACATCAAATTAGATACTTGGGGAGGTGGGAATGAGTGTGTGTGTGTATATATCTATATCTATCTCTCTCAATAATAATAATTGTATTTATTTATTTATTTAAAACATTTATATTCTGTCCTTCTCACCCTGAAGGGGACTAG